AAACCAACGAGGATACCCAATCTTGGATTTCCCCTTGTAAAATTGTAAGCAAAATAAAGCTCTTTTCTTTTTAAAGTACCCAGATCTTAGACAGATGTCACAGCAAAATGAGGATAAAAGAAAGAAAAGTCTGCAAGGTTGAAGATACAATAGAAATCATCTTAACAGAGAGAAAAAAATAACAGAACCCCAAGGGCTTGAGGGACATTAAAAATTCTAAGGGATAGCCAATTAAAGTCACAAGGCAAAATGGGATAGAAAAAGCATTTGCCTAAATAACTGCTAAAATTTCAAATTCAAAAAGTTTAGCAAGCTGGGTATGGTGGCGCATGCCTGTAATCCCAGCACTCAGGAATCTTAGGGAGGAGGATTGCCATGAGTTTGAGGGTTCGAGATCAACCTGGGCTACACAGCAAGACCCTGTCTTGAAAAAAAAAAACTTAAGCAAAACTCCAAGCAAGATAAATATGAAAAAAAATCCTAGATATATCATAAACTTCTCTAAATAGAATATAGAGAGAAAATCTCTAGCTCACCGAGACAGAAACAAGAAGTCAGAATGGTGGCTATTTAAAATTAACGAGGAAAGGGGGCAGTAATAGCAAAAATACAGTTTCTTTAAAGGTGATACAAGTATTCTAAAACTGAACATATGACTTCTCATATCTGTAAATATACTAAAATAGTTCGAAATATAAACTTTAAGCAAATTTTAAGTTATGTGAAATAGTTCTCAATAATAGAAGAAAAAACAGAAATTTCTTATAACCTTGGAGTAACTCAAAATCTGGTATCTAAAACACAATTGATAAATTTAACTGTGTGAAAAATTTAGAATCCTGCATGGCAAAAAAAAACATCTAAAGCAAAGTCAAAAGAAACTGTGCTAGAAGAAGACTGTGCCAGGTATAAAGAACAAATATTGTATGACTCCACTTATATGAGATACCTAGAATAGGCAAATTCATAAAGACAAAAAGTAGAAAACAGAAGTTACCAGAGGCTAGAGGGAAGAAGGAATGGGAATTAATAGGTATAAAGTTTCTGTTTGAGAGGATAAAAACAGTCTGGCAATATAGTGTTGATGGTTGCTCAACATAGTAAATGCACTTTATACTACTGAACTGTACACTTAAAAATGGGTTAAAATGGTAAATCTTGTTACATAAAAACAAAAAGAGGTTCACCAGGTAAATAATTTTTTTTCAAAGACAAATGGTAAACAGGGTGGAGAAAGGGAATATTACACCTCATATCACAAGAGTTTACCACAATATTGTATAAAAAAGAAACGTGATAAAAAATCCAATTTAAATACTGACAACAGATATGAACACAAAGAGAATTACAAATTGCCCTTAATCATATGAAAAGATGTTCAACTATGTAACTTAAAACCATACTGGAATAACTTTTCACCTTCCAGATTGGAAAAAAATTTAATAATATACTCTCACGGTAAACCTATGAAAAAAAGTTATCCTTGAATTCTGCTATTATAAATAATTGCCATATACATAACTGAAAGCAATCAACAGTATCTATAACACTACAGATGTAATCACCCTTTCATCATAAACCCTTTCCTCACTTCTAGGAAGTTACATGCTAGCACATGTGGGAAATACATTGTACATATAAAGTCACAGTAGCACTGTGGTGTAGAATAGTTTAAAGTTTGAAACAACACAAATATCTACCAAAAGAAAGCTGGTTAAATAAATTATAGAATTGTTTTCCATACAATGGAAAAGTACACGCTGTAAAAAATGCTATATGTCTGAAATTTTCTAATAAAAATTTTATGAAAATTTTTAAAATAAGAGTAATCATAAATCAATAACAGCAGAAAAATAAGCAGAACACACAAACAGGTACAGTATTTAATAGAAGACACAAATGTTCCATAAACATATGAAAAGCAGGCCAGGGATTTAGCTCAGTGGTACTGTGCCTGCCTCACAAGCACAAGGTCCTGAGTTCGATACCCAATACCAAAAAAGAAGCAGTTCAACCCTACTTGTAATCAGGGAACTACAAATTAAAACTACCTTGAGATACCATTTCTTAACCATCAGACTGGGAAAACTTTTAATTAGTACCAAATATTGAAGAAGATATGGAAATAACCCAAAGCCCAAACACTAGAATGGGTCACTAAACTGTGAGGTATTCACAAAATGAAGTCGACTACGAAGCTGTGACACCAAATGAACTATCAACCCTTTTTTCCATAGAAAAGAATCTCAATATACATTTTAAGTAAATGACACAAGTAATTAAAGAAGTCAATATGTTTCTATTTATATTAAGTTCAAAAACAAGCTTAACTAAACTATATTATTTAGGCATAGAGATATTGTAAAACTATAAAGGAATCAAGGAAATTGCGAATAAAAACAATCAAATTAGTGCTTAGTCCTGGGAGATATTGCAATCATGAAGGAAAGGTGCATCTAGAGTTTCTAACATACCTACAATGTTCTGTTTCTTAACCTGGATGGAAAAGTTACATGAGTGTTCATTATTACTCTTGATATGTTTTTTATACCCTTTTGTAAATATATTCCACATCTTAAAATTTCTTAAATATAAAGTTTCTGCACTATTACACATTTTAAGAATTTAAAAAGTATGCTTATAATATCAAATGAAATTGTTTAATAAGGCATCTCAGCCCTAATAAATCCAAAACCAAAACACCAACTTTCTGCACCACCCTCCTACTCCTGACACACACACACTCGTGCTCTTCCTGCTCTCTCCCACATCAATAAACTTCCCCACAGCCTTCCAGCTGCTTAGTCCAAACTTTGGAGTAATCCTGGATTCCTCAAGCCCCACACCCAAACTATCTGCTCAGAATTGTTACTTTTTTGTTTTGTGTATGGAGTTTGTTTGGGGGGGCTTTGTTTTTGGTTTTTTGAGACAGTCTCGCTAATATAGTTCAGGATGGCCTTGAACTCACTACATAGTTCAGGCTGGCCTCAAACTCACAGCAATTCTCCTAGCTCAGCCTCCCAAGTGCAGGGATTACAGGTGTACACCACCATATCAAACAGCTTTTTAAATTCTATCTGAAACCCACTCGCTCTCACCTACCTCATCAGACCACCCCAGTTCACTGTTTTGCTTTGTACTATATCCCCAACATCTAGAAGAAACCTTACTAGGGGCTTAACAATATCTCAACCAACAACCTTTCATAGGTTTTTTTTTTAGAGGGGGATCATTTGAGACAAGGTGTCACTATTAGTCCAGGCTGGCCTTGAACTCACTATGAAACACAGGCTGGCCTCAAACTCGCAACAATCCTCCAGTCTCAGTCTCCCAAGTGCTGGGATTACAGGTATGTGCCACCATGCTCAATTTATAGTACTGTTTTTTTAAACAGTAAGTATTCATTATAACATTGAAAACAATTTTAATCCATAATATCATTAAGTTGTGTTATCCCCATAAACAGAAATGAAAAAGTAAATTAAATATCACTAAACAAAGTATGAAGCACACACATGCTTTCCCCGAATATAAACCATTTGTTTCCAAAGGTAAACAAAGAAATTATTAGCAATTCAATTTGTAAGATTAAAAACTGATTTTAAAGAATCAAGAAAAGCAAAGGATGTCAGATTTTTCCAAAGCAAAATTGAAATAAGGCTATCATTTGAATCTCATACCTTCTCCTAAATTAATCTACTCTTCCTGCAAAGCTAAAAGCTAAGGAGAAAGCTGTAAAACACACGTTTATGACTTGCCTCACCCACAGGGAAACAGGAAAGGCACACAGTGTGGACTAGAAGGAACCTGAAGGTTCATCTAATATTAGCCCTTTCATTTTTACCAAACAAGAAACTGAGGACTTGAAAAGACCTTAGAAAACTGAAAAGTGTTCTGTGTCAAAATGAACAACAATTGAAAAACACTAGAAGGAAAAATAAACAATTTAGCTGGCCTGTTCTGTTTTGATCCTTGCTACAGTAAAAATTCAGCTTTTATAGAATTAGAGACAAAATACATCTCCATGGAAACAGGACGTGAGACCAAGAAATATGGTTTTCTATGCAGGTCCTCACACAGTGAGAATACACAGAAGTTGTGGGTGGGGGTAGTGGGTACTGAACAGAGCACAGCTTGATAATCAGGTCTGGATTTGAATTCTGGCTCTACCACTTACTCTGAACCAAGGTATTCTTCGTCCTATTGGAGCCCCAGTTGTTTGTTTGTCTGTTGTTTTTTTAAATCAGCAAATTGGGGATTATAAAGATCTACTTTATAAGATTATCAGGAGTGTGAAAGAGCACGGGTCATCTAATTCAGTTCCTGGCACATTCCTGGCTACAGTCTACCTGCAGGCTTTGGACATTTTATTCCTAAGGGCAGAATGTGCAATAAGCATCAGCCTCTCTGCCTCTGTGACCTGTACTGCCCCAGCCTATTACTGAGATTTCTACGAACAGCCCGGGATGGCATTGTTGATGTTGCTATCTCCAGGAACCTGTCAATTACCTAATAGTAGCCATTAGATGTTTTGTATTTGAGACAAAATGAAAGATGCTTAGGATTTTTTAAGACAGAAAGTTGAATAATCTGAGAACAACCAGAAGCAACTTTCAAGAATCCTCTCCACAACAGATTAAATTAGATAAGATGACCATTTGCTGCTTAAAGGCTTCTGGTTTAAACCCAAGGTCTTACTCCAACAGTTAGCAGTTTATTATATTTTCTGAAGCTTCTAATTATCAGAAAGGGGTCTTCCTTAGAATAAAGTGATGAAAAAGTGAAAATAATGTATAAATGTCACCCTTCACTTGCATCTGGAAATAAAAATCTTCACTGTTTTCATTTGGGGATAAAAAAGGATATTCTATTTAACAACAATTCTTTAATATAAAAGTCAAATTCAAAACTTGCATCTTGAAGCACATATTTATGATTTCATAATAAAATACATATTAGAAACTCTGTCTTACAAATACATAAAACATAAAGAAACCTACCTGGGATGATATCATTGATGTGCAAGAGAATTGTACTTTCAACACTTGCAAAACTACAAAGCTGTACTCCATCAAATTTTCCATCCCAGTTGCCAATAGGGTTATCCTAGAAATCATATAATAGGATAAACTTTGAAATTCTACTCAATAAAATGTAAATATAAAAATATTTTCCATAAAAGGATCCTCTAAAATATTTTATAATGCTGAATTTTAACTATTTTGCCTAAGAGAAAGAAGATATTAGAAGTAACTCCCATAGTAATTAGGCTTTTTTTTCTGTTTTTAAAAATATAAGAACTAAGAATAATCAAGTTATTATAAACCCATAGCTAAACAAGGAATCAGAAATGTCTTTCATATTTTACTGGACAATAATTTGTCTATGAAATAACACCCATCTGAGGCTTAAAAAGACATTTTTCATAGGAATATTTATTACTAATACACCATTTTACCCAGAAATCTCCCCAAAAAGATGATCACACCTTTATATTCACTGAGCAATTAAACAATTTAAACTATTATATGCCTTTCTCTCCATTCAAAGGCCATTTTTAATTGTTTTGTCATTTTATGGATATATAAAAATTTCTCTAAAATAGAGATTTCTCTATTTAATTCATTGATATTCCAATGCAGCACTGACTAGTGCTGTTCATGGAGCTAGATTAATAGACAGCCCAGAAGACAAGTGCCCTGAGTACTAGTATGTATAGAAATGGTCCTGGAAATCAAAACATACGAAGAAAGTTGCATCTGCCAGAACCTTCCTCCTGAGGCGCACACTAGAAGTGCCTGGAACCAATGCTTACACAAGCCTACTGGGGAATGGACCAAGACAGAGGGAGGAGCTGGCAGAGCAAACACAGGTAGAAGAAGTCCACCTTGGGAAACAAGGTGGTCTCAAGGTTGCCATCTAAGGAGGTCAGCCCTCATTATCTTCAGCCAAATTTGGGGCCAAGCCAAAAGAACTGAAGCAAGGGAAGAGTAGCCCCAGTAATCAGTGGATCTCCTTCTCCAACTTTCCCTCCACTTGGCCCATAATTTCTCCTCTAAAAGACTGAAGTAAAACTTAGAGAAAATCAGTTTTAAAAGAAGTTCTTTATTGTTAGCTATCCTGTTTTTTACTCTGGTTTTAACTTCACATAGTAAGAGTTCAGTAAATGTTAGTTTAGTACAACTAATGAGTATCAAATAAAATTTTTAAGCACAAAATAACAGAAACTTATGTCAGAACATCTTCACCCTATCAGTCTATTCAAATTATATCTGAATAGATAAAAATGATTACTAAAAACATTGCCATCATGAGTACAAAACTCTATTACTCATATCCTCTCCTAACTCATCCCAGTATTTAATGATTCAGTATGAATCTCTTTCTTTACAGACCTAACAAACTTTTGCCTATATTTTTGGTCTATGACAAAAATGTTCTCAGCCTTTTTCTTCTTGTTCTTTTGATGCGACAGGTATAATTCAACATGTCAGGCTGAAATGTATCCATTATTAAGTATGATTATAAGGTAATATTAAAAATGAGTGGCGTAAACAAAAGGACAAATACTGCATGATTCCACTTCTGTAAGATACCTAGAACAAGCACATTCTAGGAGAGTGGTTAACAGTGTGTGGGGACAGTAGGCAGAATTTATTTAACAAGCACAGAGTTTCAGTTTAGGATAAAAATGTTCTAGATATGGATAATGGTGATGGTGTAATGAAAATACACCTAATGCCACTGAACTGTACATTTAAAAAGTTAAAATGTAGGGCCGAGGATTTAGCTCAGTGGTTCCACTGCCGGCCTGGCAAGCACAAGGTCCCGAATTCGATCCCCGGTACCAAAAAAAAAAAGTTAAAATGTAAATGTTTTGTTATGTACACATATTTTACCACAAGAAGAAAAAAAGTCGTAATGAATGATATCCCATGAAAATACTCTAATTGTCTATTCCTCAAAAGCAATGTGGCTTTCCTCTACTGAAGTATTTTCTACAAATGATTTTTTATGTTATTCATTAAAATCATCAGCCTGCAAAATTCTGTAAAATATTACAAAAAGAAAAATATGTATTACAAAAAATATTTTCAAAATAAAGAAAAATATGACATCATATATTTGGGTTCAGTAGGGTTTTTGGGGGGATGGCTTGTTTGTTGTTTTGTTTTAGCCATTGGTCAGTTATAATAAGAGTAGATGCAATTCTATATCTAGATTTGTATCCCATTTCAATATGCATTTAGCAAAGATAAATTTGAATCTGTTCTTTAAAATACTCCAAATTAGTCCATTTTAAATACTCAACATATTCAATTTGTACCTAAATTGGCCATAAATCTAAGACATATATTCACAATGAAAACATAATCCAAAATTTCTTACCATGTCCACACCAACAAAATATCCTAAGCTCTCTTTTCCTGGCAAAACATCACAGAATATAACTGTTCCAGATTCTATAGTTTCTCCAACCTTCAAAGAAACTCTGGAGTTTATTTCCAAAGGGGGGAGTTCAACCTGCATTGTGTCCACTGGACCTGCATAATCACTTTCCAGTCCATTGTCATCATCTTCTATGATTTCTAGCTTGTCCAATGCAACGAATACTCCACAATCTTCATCACACTGAAAAAGCTGTTTCCCTTGATATACCCCATCAGTGAAACCTTGACCACGACCTTCTTCCTAGTTTTTAAGAGAGATTTTTTTTTTAAAAAAAAAAAGATAGAGAAAGATTATCCACAGGAAAAAGGATCTATCTTAGGGATTTCAGGGAAATTACTCTGGAAAAATTCTAAATAATACATGTAAGAAATATAATGATTAGCAGTTATTGCTGGATTTATGATGTTTAAGACATAAGGAAAAAATAAAATTACCTGATAATGATGCTGAATAAAATTACCTGATAATTTCAAATTATAATTAGATAATAAGAAAGTTGAGCTGGATTCTCCATTGAGATTCAAACATTACTTTTATCATAAAAAGAAAAATTTACTTTAACAGCAACATTAGCTCCATTATTTGGCACTTACTACATGCTAGCCACTAAATCCCATGTCAATAACCAAAAACACTACAAGTTGTATACTATCATCACCACGTTAGTAAGGCGACACAGATTTAGGGAAGGTAAGTTGGTTACTAATCGGGCAGTCCAGCTAGTAATTGGCATAACTAGCAAACCCTCAATATTTTTACTGCTTATAAAATTAAATCAAGAAGGAAATGGGGCATGAAATTCTAGCCACAACAATGTCAAAATATACTTTACATTTAAGTTCTTGAAAATTAATATTAAATTTGGAAACATTCACAGAGTTCTTGGGTCCAAGCTGATTTGACATGTATTATCAGAGACAACTATAAGCAAGTTTCAACCACTACAACTTATTTTTTTTTAAATCTTAAATCTAAATTTTCATCACTTAATAGCACACATTTAGAAATGAGAAACTTGTAGATGATAATGTCACAAGACCATAAACAATTTCTGAAGTAATTATAATTAGTGTTCACTTTTTAATATAAGCAATGTTAAAATCTCTTAGATACAAAGTCTGTAATAACTATGTCAACTATTTGTGTGTTCCTACAGTAGGCAGTTTTTAACAGTTTTCAAGCGTAATGCTTACATCATCTCAATTCATCATTAAAAAGTAAATCCTGGGGCTAGAGGTACAGCTCAGTGGTAGAACACGTGCCTAGCATGCAGAAGACCCTGGGTTTGATCCCCAGCCCCACATACATACATACACACATACATACATACATATGAAAGATCGTGATTATTAAAAATTACTGAAGACTTCTAAGAAAACTTATTTTCTGTTTCAAGAGGAAAAATACACGTGAATACATATACAGAGACACAAACACACATACATGTGTACGGTCCACTAAATGGTTCATCAAACTTACCAGTAATTCTACTCCAAAGAATATCCCCGACACCGTCCTCTCTGCTAATAAGGGTCCTCTGAAGCGCACAACTCCTGGAAATTTCTCTTCCCCAGACCTCAGCTGCACCTTCACAGGGCAGCCCACATCTACCTGGAGACCTTTACTTAGTCTGCTTCTGTTTTTAAACAGGCTGAGCCTCTCCTCACAGTTGGTTATGGCCAACAGTAACTCTGTGAATTTTTCGTTTATTTCTACAACATCCTTTTCGTCAACAAAGAGAACTGCATGAGGTTGCTCTAGGATTTTTAATCCAATCTGATTTTTCTTGCCTTTGGCAGAAGGAATCCTCGAGTGCCCCACAGAGCGGTCTTGGATATACTGTCCTATACTCCCCTTTGGTACTTTAAGCAGCTTTTGTGTCTGTTTGTCTGTAACACTGCATTCTTGAAGAAGCAAATAAAAAATCCGCTCTTCCCAATAGGGTGAAGTAACTTTTTCTTGGCTCCACAGGCCTGAACTCATTGTGATAGGAACTTCAGAATATTAGCTCAAAAAATGAACCACTAGTAAGTTTGTTGTAAAATTGCAAAAGATAAATTGACTGGCAGTCCCAAAGTATGTTTTTAGCAATTTGGTATCCATGCTGTAAAAAGACAGCAAATCAAAATGCCTGGTGAACAAGCAAAAAATAAACTTTAGACTTCATTCTATATAACCTAAAATTAAGTTTAAAGGCTTTTAAAATTTTCAGTTGACGAATACACACACACACGAAATATTTCCAAAAATACCTAAAAAGGATAAAAGACATATATAACTTGTATCTACTACAATTGTAATATTTAAGGAAATCCAATTGTAAAGTACCTTCAAAGACAATAAAATGATTGTTTCCAAGTCTTTGAAATTCACAAAACAAGATTTAGCAAAAATTTTAAAGGTTACCCTCATATACACAGTCTGACATTTTTAAACTTTAAAAAATTGTAATTTTTTTTTTTTTGGAGACAAGGTCTCACTGTATAGTCTAGGTTAGCCTTGAACTCACTATGTAGCCCAGGCCACCCTTGAACTCCCAGTGATCCTCCTGCCTCAGTCTCTCAAATGTTGGGATTACAGGCATGCACCACCACCCCAACAAAAGTAGCAATTTTAATGGATTCTCCCTAACTTAAATGAATAAGCTGCTGCATTTAAGCAAAACACACATGAATCTTATAAATAAAAAGGTTATCATTTCTGAACATAGTTTAAAAAAAAACTTACACACTAAAAGTTGAACATCTTTTATCAATAAAAATATACCACATTCTGAAACTAACGATTCATTTATCTATTTTGGTAATGGGACATTTACTTGTGACTCAATTTCATTTCTTTAATCTTATACATTTTGTTCTTAGGCAAATGCTAATCATATTCATCATAGTTATCATTTAATTTCTCACCACCACAAATATCAGATATTATAATCTCATTAAAGATTTTGTAGCATCAAAACTCAGACTACATAACAAAGACGTACAATTTCAGTATAGTGATATTGAATTGTAGACGCTTCTATCAAACATAAAATGTAATTTTAACTGTATCCAAGGAATGAATATACAAAAGATTTCTTTTTCAGCTTCAAATTTTCATTTGAAATTTTTATAAAAATAATAATCTTTCCCAATGAAGTAGCCTTTCTCAAGCCTGCTTCAATAGATGGTTAAAAACTAGACAATGCTGTTAATTCAAATTGAGGACTTCACTATTTTAACAAATTATTTTGCTGAAAATAATAGCCTATATGTATACTCTGTCACAAGAATATGGCTATTTGGTTTCTAAATACAGTACTTATTTCATCCTTATTTGAGATGGAGGTATCATTTCCATTAATCTGGCTAAGAGCAACAACTGATAGCACTATCATATTTATTCACTGTCTCACCTCTCTAAATCTAGAACCAAACAAGTTTAGTCATTTAACTTAATGATCAAAAAAGCTGGCAACACATTTCCTTTAGAAAGCATTGTTCGGTAATGAGGTGTTCCATCATGGTAAAGTTTTTTACAAGTCTGATCCTCTGCAAGCCAAAATGAGACATGTGGGTCACCTAAGACAGGGTAAGAGTCTGGCACCCCTTCAGACCAACAATAGTAAAGTACTTTTGTCATAACTTGCGAGGACACAAGCAAAAGTAGGTCAACGAAGTGAGCCTCTTTTGTCTTCTTTTTTTTTTAATCACTGCTTGCTTCAATTCCACTTGAGGGCACTGTCTACTTCAGCTGGAGTGCAATCAATTTATATCTGCCACTTACATAAGACACCTGTGGACACCTCACTCTTGGCACCACAAAAACAAAACCCCTTAAAAGGTTGCCTCAACAATTAGCTGAGACCTTAATTTGGCTCTGTGCCTTTCAGATACCAAAATGAAGTCTTTTTTTTTCTTTCTTTCTTTTTGCTAAAATGATTTTAAAAGCCAGCATTTTTCAACAAGGAAATTATTTTTCCTGAATTATCATTAGGAATATAAATTGTTATGTATGACTCTAAATATGGAAGGCTCTTTGTTACTTTGTTAAAAGGCTTTAGACAATGATTTCTGCACTCTTGTGCCTGCTTTCTATACATCTACAGTCTACAGTTCTCTCTTGCAATCAGCCATTTTCTGTGGTTCCCTGTAGCATGCATTTCACTCTCTTTTCAGCCTTGTTGCTTTCCAACTTAATGCTTCTGATCGGTTCTGAGAACCCTATATGTTTATTTACAAAAAAACAAAGTAACAATGGAGGAATACATAAATTCTGGAAGAGTCTTTAGGATTAAAGTACAGAGCCCATAATGCAGAGATATCATTTTGTTTGCTTCCAGAAGGCTTAGTCAAAAAGCAACATCCAAAACAGTGACCAAGAACCAAGAAGAGTCTTGATTCTTTTTAAAATGTACTTATATTTTCTGGCAAAAAAAAAAAAATTTAAGGATAAAGCAATTCTATTTTCAAAAGAAATTCTTTTTGTAAATTTCTAAAAATGGCTACCTTCAAATTAAAATCAAAACCTTCTTTGAATCTTAGTAATTATTTATATGTTAATAATTCCTACTCTGTTGGTTCTCTAGCATAACAAATCATGTCACAATTTAAAATAAAAACCATAAGTGCAATAAAATATTGACAAAACTAAATTATGATATGTAATCCACTGGGACACTATATTTTACATGAATTTGATTACAAAATTGCTTTTCCAGCTTATTTAAGGGCAGCAATCCACAGTGAAAAACTGATATAACTACCTGGTTTATAAAAAGGTGCATGACAATAAATAAAAGTTTTCAAGTACTATTTTTCAACCACGAACTAACTCTTTGCTACCTTGCAATAGAACAACCAGGAATGAGCTTAGAGTCAATAGGATGGGTCACATTAGACAACTAGAGCAGCCAAAGCAAAAGTTGTAAAATATTTAAAAAGCATTACTCAAAAATAAAAAGCATGTGTCCTTTCCTCTTTTAGAAAGAATACATTAAGAATGGTTTGAAGCTATCATATTAAAAATTAATTCTCTCTTTTGCAACTCACAGAGAAAGTTGAATGGCGAATTTTATGGCCCTAGAGATATACATAAAGATAAATTTAATGATTAATATTCTCAAAATACCAGTATTACAATAGAAATATGCTAATACATATTTTTTCCCACTGTAGGAATGAATATAATGTCAACTTTTTTTTTTGGATAGGCTCTCACTTTGTAGCCCAGGCTGGCCTCAAACTTGCAGCAACCCTCCTGCCTCAGCCTTCCAAGTGCTGGGATTACAGGAGTGCACCACCATGCCTGTTAACAATATTCTTTCAGAGGGCTACGCACAACTGTTAAAGTCAAGATGACCAAGCAGGGAAACTGACAAGATAATATAAAGGAAAAAGTTGTAAATCCCATTGTAAATGAGTTCTTTACCAATCAGGAAGGCTGGTTTATAGGTTTAGTATTTTGATGCACTCAGTACAGTGTTAGACACTGAAAAACACAGAACCTTTAAGATCAGATTACTGCCTTCAATAAATCATCCAATTTCACCCAGTCCCCCCCCCCACCCCGCATTAAGCAAAGATCACAAGTGCAGTAGGACAACGCAAAGAACAAGAAGCACAGTCAAAGTGAAAATCAGGACAGTGTGGTGGGCGAGGGGTCGAAGTGAAAAGAGAAATTTTTACTTGTATGCTCTTATTATTTGCAGGTGGAGTCACTTTGAGGGTGAGTATATCACAAATGACTCATCTAAATACTATCTTATTTCAGGCTAGATAGTGAGTGATCATGAATATCTTGATAATTACTGTTAAGTACTGAATGAAGAGACCAAAGGGTTGAAATATTTAAGCTTAAAAAGCATGCTGAACAGAAAGGCTTTCTTTTGAGGACACTGAAGATGAGAGAACATTTCAGTGTCACATGGATCTGAAAGCGTATCTGGTTATCTGAGCTTACTGATGGCCTGGATTCAGATTAAAAGAGGATGTAACTGTAATGGTTTATAATAATACAATGGTTTATAATAAAACCATTAAACCAAGATGAGGCTGAAGAGCACAAATTGATCAATTTTCTATGAATGAAATGGAAAGATGGGTCAAGAAATATGTCTTACACAAAAAATATTAAAGATCAGAATTATCAAGTTACACATGTGCAAATGATCATGAGCTACATAAAATGGACAATGGGTAACTTATCTAGAAGATACAATATCATTTTGATGCTCAAGTTATCAGGTTATACCATTCATAAGAACCTCATGACAGGTGTAATTCAAGAACTCCTGGCATCTCCTGAGATATCCTGCTTGCTCTAAAAACCACAGGAAGCTATCTAAATCAGAATAAAAATTACAATACTAAAATAATGCCCCAAATTATAAATGGCAAAAAGAGGTAGGAAGGTCAGCACAAACACTCAAGAAAAAAGACATGTGAGCCTTTTTCCAAATGCTTCTAGACAGCTAGAATGATTACCATTTTAAGAAAGAACATCTCTCAGTAAAAGAACAAGTTGTTATATTATACAGCTAAACAGAAATATAGCAATTCTGGAACCAGAAAACAGACTGACTCAGTTTAAATATTCCTCACAAGTACACAATCCCTAAAACAAGTGGGACTTATAAGGTTTTTATTTTTAAAAAGTGCTCTTGAAGCAGCATGCTCATGTCAGAAGGATAAGGAACACTGCTGTCTCACTGGAGTTAAATCTAGCCATTCCACTCCCCAATTGTGAACTCCCCAATTTCCACTTCTTTGTACTTCCAGGGCCCAGACCAGAAACTTAGTTAACTCAAATGATAGCAATGAAAACCAAAATGTCATTTCAACATCCTAACTGCCAAAAGCTTCCTCCAGGTTAAAAAAAGAAAAAGACTCAATAGTTGGGAGTAATGATTTTTGCCTAAAATATCACTATCCTCTGAATAAATGATCACTGTTCACACTACTTCATTGTTGATCAAGGAAAATTTCACAATTATGAAATTAAGCTGTTTTGAGACTCATTTGAAACTAGCTTCCTAGAACCCATACCATGCATGACACTTATAAATTCTGCATAAACAATGTAAAAACCTCTGACAAATTTAAGATCACTGGGTGAAAATCAGGAAAAAACTGTAAAATAATTTGATGAATAGGATTATTACTCTTCTCTTCTGTTCTTTATTAAAGACTTCCTTCAATCAAACAGAACCACAGCTTTGGCATGCCAGACCAGAGAAATCATTGTTGCTCAATGTCCTCTGTTTTATATAACAGGTGGCCTGGTCTTGTAAGTGTCTCAAAAAAGTTACCACCCAAAACAAGCTTTCTTCAGAAGAACACATTAAAATTTTGCAACAGAATACCTGAGAACGCTGTGGGTATTATCAACATTCAGAGTACATGAACTTTGGTAAGAATTTCCACCAAGTCATTTTCTCCTAATACTGTTCTACATCAATCCACCCACTACCCAGTGGGGAGTGGCAAGCTAAATTCTTAGGGCCATTCAACCTACTTGGGGCATGAGGGGGTGTGCAGAAAATCAACACTTGAATCGACAGCCTCTTGAGGCCTGGGTTTTTCTCTGGGAGCCTAAGATGACAAAATGAGTAATCTTATTCTGATCTCTAATTAGCACCAATTCAAAACCAAGGTATGAATGCTCCTTAGCTTAGCGAAGGATACAATTTTCCAGGAAAAACAGGAGGGGAAGAAGGGATGATAGGGGTTGGGAGACTGCAAGGCCACAAGCTTGGTGACTAGAAGATGACAACCATCCTAAAACACGCAAATGCCCAGGAGTGGAATGGAAAATCTGGCAGGTACGCAAATACCCGGGTGAACATCAAACTCAAGAACACCATCTCCAAGACTTCACAATTTCCCCAAGGATGATTAACAGATGATAAAAACGAAAAACAGAAAGGAAAAAAGAATACTGTCTAAGCAGGCACACCTTTCAGCTGAAGAACTCTGAGTTGTGTAAAAACCATCCTCACCCTGGGAAGGGGGAAACTGAAAGAAAAAGCAGAACACGCCATTAAGGAGAGACCAAACCCTAACTGCTCTTCCTAGATGGGGGTCACAGTCATTCCCCCCAAAACAAGCGATCCACACGCCTCATGGCACAGACAGGAGACATTACAACCTGGGGCTCTCGGTGCCAACGGTACCCTTCAGGAGTCAGCCACCAATCCGTGCCTGCCTCAGTTTTCCCATCTATAAATGGCCTGCGGCAACGAGGGAGACTGAGTCTTGTGCTGCTCCCACTCAAGCCCTGTCTCTCCCAGGGTCCCGGTGGCAGCGACCACGCTCCCGGACTCGGGACTCAGGAGCCCTCCCAGGAAAGCTCGGGAATGGGGAAGCCGAGCTGACGTCACGGGCGCAGCACCCCGCGAGCCCGGCTGGCTCAGGCGGTTTGAGGCAACTAACGGGCCGGCGCCCAGGCCCTCCGGTCGCCGCGACGGCTCAAGGCGCCCCGGAGCCGTGAGGGGCAACCGAGGGGTCTAGCAGCCCACCGCTCGGGCCCGGCTCACTCACCCACCACGGGCGGTGGGACGTCGCTGCCTGCCCTTCTCCCGCGTCCCGGGCTGGCCCGACACCCCACACCCACCACCCTAGTATTTACCTCCGACGCGCGGACCCCGCGCAGCCGAACGTGCTACCTGGGCCCGCCCCCACCTGCCCCGCCTCCGAGCCGCCGGGGAGAGGGAGGGAACGGAGGCGGAGGAGCCAACCACCGAGCTAACCAATCGCAGCCCGAGGTACGTTTTTTTTTTGCTCGCACCCTGATTGGGTCTCTCCGTGACCTTCCTCCAATAGCTGCCGGAGCGGCGGCTGAAGGGACTTTCCGCTCCGTCAAGCTCGGTGGAGCCTAAGGGAAAAAGCAGAGGGGAGGAGCGGAGAAGAGAGGGGAATGGGGGCGGGGAAACCTATCTGATTGGACCAAAGCCTGGAGAGACACATCTCCATTGGCTGGTATGGGAGCCGGGGCGGAGCGCTGGGCTCTCCTAGCTCCGCCTCCCATACCAGAGTCCAGGCTCTCGCCTTAGCTGTCAAAACTGGGGTAGGAAGTCCAGACAAGAACTGGGAATACTTTTCCAGAATTTCAAGAAAGAGCAAAGCTTAAGAATCACACCTAAGGGCCGGGGATTTAGCTCAGTGGTTCCGGCGCCTGCCTCGCAAGTGCAAGGTCCCGAGTTCGATCCCTGGTACAAAAAAAAAAAAAGGATCACACCTGAGGTGGAAGCTTATGCTCTCTCAATTAGTTGCCGCTTGAGATGAAGAAGTCACAGCCATGCTGCGCCTCAATTTCCACGTCTGTAAAGTGGATATAATAAGAGTGCAACCTGTCTTACAGGATGCAATGCCACATTCAAGTTCCTGACCCTCAGTAAAGGTTAAAGTTCTTCCCTTCGAAAGTGGCCTGGGATCCCTGCTGTTTCTGAACCTCTGTTGCCGCCTATTCCAGTTAGGAGGGAGGTTTTCTAAGGATGGTGAAGAAAGAGTTTCCACGAGCTACCTCACTGAGCCCTGCAAGCCTGGCTACCAGCCAGGACATGGGGTGTAGTTAAGGATCTTTCAATTAGAATAGGAGGCTTCTGATTCCCAAAAGCGCTCAAAATATTTAAGGAAGTGCTTTTTATAATTAGCCCCAGAGCTTTGAAGCATGCGTTCCTGCACTGGATACTCTCCTTAATTAATTCCTTCTCTTTTGACATTTTAAGTACTAATTATGGGGGACGGTGATTAATACTGAGGAGGAGGAGTAGGGTGTGTGTGTGTGTGTGTGTGTGTGTGTGTGTGTGTGTGTTTAATGACACAAATTTCGCCAATGGAAAGTGACATGCTTCTGAAGATCTGGGGAATTTAAACCAGTGAGTATGGAAAAGTAGTCACATGAGTAATTGCTAAGAGTAGTCCTAAACAGGCCACCTGCTCCCTTGCCATAATCTCAAAATTAAATGGACATCTTTTGAAAACTTTAGCTTCAATCCGCTCCTGTATTTCCTTAGTCCATCCCAATCCTGTTTCTCAGGCTTCCTGAACATCCTCCAGAAGGAAACAATGTGATGGGAATTGCCAGGCCTGGCTCGCAGTGTGGCCTTAGGGAAAGCCACTCCCTTCTAGATTTAGATTCACTAATGACTAAGACTCTGAGATCACACTCTGGCTGTCTAGGAGAAAACATCATCCTGAAGATTGCTTTTGCTCAGCCCATATATTAAGGATGAGGAGGAAGAAGAAGAAGAAGCAGAGATAGGGGAGAGATTTGGAATCCTTTAGACAAAATAAGCACTGTCACTTTTTCCAGTTTGCCACACTCCTCACCATTCCCTATTTCATGGCCTTGAGCCACTTTTCTCCTTGGCCCCTGAAGGCATTTGAGTTTGACACCCTGGACTAAAGCACTTTCAGGTCCTTTCTGATGATGGCCTGAGGTGCTGCTGACTCTGCTGCAATAGGGCTTCCTTCCCCACCAGCAGGGGTCAGATACCTTGCTCAGCCCTCCTGTCACATGTTCACTGAAACAGTGTCAGGGCCTGACTTCCTCCAAGAGATGAGAATGGAAGCCAAGCCAGATAAACAGTCTTGTCTCAATTACTGTCTCACATGTCTCTCTTACTGGCTACCTAGAACTGAGTGTTGGTGTCAGTTCTGAAGCTGTGAGTCCAAGCTCACAGGCAAGAGAGAGGCCTGCCATGTGCAAGGCAGGAGGGTAGTGTGACAGTGCTACTTATTAATTCCAGTGCTTCATCAACCAGCCTCTCATTCTACAGAAGGGAGATTAAAGGTCCAGGGAAAGGGCCGACACGCAGATTCTCCCGATTCCAAACTAGGACTCTTCCCACCTCTTTAAATGAATTTTCCAACGTAAACACTCATCCTCTCTGCCTTCCAAATCTTCCCTTCATGTAGAGCCCAGCCACAGCCCACCCTCTTCCAGGGATTTTTCCAGATGCCTCCAGCCCCCACCTATCTCCTCTGCCTCCCCACACCCTCTCAGCCTGTCATACCCAGCCTGGCCCTGGGTGCAGCCAGACAATTAGTGGTTGAGTTACTGAGCAACTACCAAGAAACCAAGCAGTGGACAAAGGAGATGCCGCCCATGCCTCTAGCAAGAAAGGTAGATTTTTAAACAACTAATTACACAATTGCTTTCCTAATTAAAGGCATGGTGAGCTCAGAAAAACATTTCTGATCTTGCGTAACGGGAGGTGGGAAGCCACCTTTAAAATGAGATGGGAAAGATGGCTGGCAGTTGGAGATGCAGGAGAGCACTCCAGCCAAAGGGAACAGGAAAGTGCTGTTGAAGGATCTGAAAAAGGCAGGGCGTGGGGAGTGTGATGCAAAAGGGCACTGGGAGCCAGAGCCAGACTGACCTTCACCCCAAGAGCACTGGAACTCTTTGAAGGATTTTTAGCAGGGTAGTGAATGCAAACTATCTTGCCCTCTTATTGCACAGGATCCCAACAAAAAAGCCAATGAATTGAATTGAATTGAATTGAATTGACCCATGTCCTTAGGAGCCTAGTAGGAGCCTGTGACTGTAACAGAGTCAAGACTCAAGGAAACCTCAGTGTCTAGACTTGGTTCTGGATTAGGTCCCACCTCATCTTCCTTCCCAGTAACTACCATAGGCTACCTCCTTCCAGCCTCACCAAATTCTGTTTATTTCATACTTTACTGTCTGCTGGAAATTTCCATTGGACACAGCCCAAAGTGAAAGACTGATGTTCCCCACTCCCACTGTGACCTTTCTGCCCTCCCCCTCACAGTGGATGGCAACTCTCCATTCCGCATCCAGCCTCCCATGGTTCCAGGCATTTTCCTATCATTCCTGTGAAACTAGACACTCAGAACAGCTCTGTGCCAAGGGGCTACCTGGGCCAGCATCCCTACAGGCAAGGATAGGGTACCAATGCTTTCTCCATAGTAACCCCAGAAGGAGTCCTGATGAGGAGTTGGTAGCCCCCCAGCTGAGAGACGTGCTTATCTCTCAGGGAGGGAAACCCTCAGTGCAACTGAGCATTCTGTCTCACGGTTTTTACTCTGGTCACCTAAAAGATTTTGATAAGATAAAAAGGGATTACTTTAATCATTTTTAAACTAATCCAGCTGAACTATAAACCCATGCTCTTCTGTTTGAGCTATATGCTGTTATTAGTGACAGTTTCTTTGTATGATTTTGAAAACTCACAGAGAAAAAGGGCTTAACACTCATCATTGAGACCTTTATGCTACATTTGGAATCTCATTTTGGGCAGCTTATGCACTAGGAACAGTATCATATCTGGCAAAACTTTTTTCCTTAAAGAAAGAGATACTAAGTGTTAAAGGAAAGGTGATTCATTATTATGATCTGCCCCAACCTCAATTCTCTGCTCCCTTTAGGAAGACTGGATTCTCAGTTAACAAATATTTATTGAGCACCTGTTATGGTGCCAAGCATCCTTTTAGACTCTGAGGAATTTGCAGTGTCTGAGCCAGTATTCCAGGGCAAGTGAGTTAGCTTTAAGTTGTACAACGAAATATCTGAGAAAAGCAACTTATAAGAAGGATGGGTTTCTTCTGGCTCATGGTTTCAGGGTTTGCAGTCCATGGTCACTTGGCCCTGTTGCTCTGGCCTGCTGTAGTACAGTATATCATGGTTGGAACACATACAAGAGGAAGTTGCTTTCCTCATGGCAGCCAGGAAGGGGAGGGGGCATATCCCCTTCAAGACACATTCCTAATGACCTAACTTGTTTTCACCATCTAAAGGTTCCACCACCTCCTAATAGCACAATGGGCTGGCAACCAAGATTCAATATATGGGCCTTGGGGGATACTCCAGATCCAAAGTATAGAAGAAAGGAAGAAAGAAATGTAGATCATGTCATGCACATCAAGAAGACACTATTAAGCAGATTAGGGGAGAAAATAGTGGATGGATAGATTGTTCAGGAAGGATTTGCTCAATATTTGACATCTGATCAAATACCTGAAGGAAAGGAAGAAGCAAGCCATGCCACTGGCTAGAGATATGGCTGTAAAATACATAAAGCAAATGCAAAGGTCCAGGAGCAGCAAAGTGCTTGGGACCCTCAAGGAGTAGCAAAGCAGCTGGTGTGGTGTGGCTGGAGCACAGAGCATGCAGGTGTCGGTTGCAAAAGTGAGACCAGAGAGGACACAAGATAGTTCAAGCCAGCACAAAACCTTGGCTTTTACTTTGCACTGAACAGGAAGCCCTGGAGGGTTTAGATCAGAAGAGTGGCTTATCTGACTTGTGCTTCAATAGGCTCACTCTGCAGGTCCAGGGTAGGGAGGCAGGTCAAGAGACACTGCAGTGATCCAGGCAAGGATGGGTCCTAAAGGGGCCCCTTGTTTCCTGGAGGTGGGAGCAGAGCAGATGAGAAGGGTGAGTGATGAGGACTGGACTGATGTTAACTGTTCATGAAGTGGTGATAGGCTGGCACTAAATTTAAAGAAAAATCAGAGGAGGGTATCTTGGGAAAGCACAAGCCAGGCAGCTGGAATTTCAGGTGTGCACAGCCACAATCTCTGTGAATGTTACTCTCCAAGGAGAAATTGCTCAGGTGGGTCTCCAGGTTCTAGATGACCTTGCTGTTCCTCTGTCTCGACTCCCCAGGGCCTAAGTCTATGATTTTCTGCATGGACAGCCATTTCCAGGGTATTTCAAGGATTGCTGTATGCTTCACTCATCAGGCTGGACCAGTCACCTAAGGGGAGAGCAGGGTTTGGAGATGTATCAGCACAGTGGTGGAATGAGGCTCTGCTTTCTGCTCGGCCCACTTGAGATATGACTCCATGCTAACATGTCTGTGGGTGTATTCCTTCCAGTGTCCTGTTTCAGGACTACAGAGAAGATGGGAGGGATGGAAAACACTTGGATTGATGCTGGGGGGTTTTTCTTCTGGGATGATGGTGAATGTAATTAAAGTCGGAGGTTATTTTGAAAACTCTCTTGCTCTAACACTGTGCTATTCTGTACATAAAACTATATACTCTTGGCCACAAATCTGTACCCTGCTCCTGGATAAGCCACTTCCCAGGAGCACATATCTTTCAGGACCTCCCTATCAGGAATCTTGAGATTAAGACTCCTAGTTCCCTGGTTACGCACATAGGATCAGATTGCTTTTGCTGGTACCTGCTAGTCTTCTGAAAGTTATGAAACTTCCACACTGAACTCTGCTGTAATCACATACCAAGATGTCAGTGTCCCCTTCACCCCTTCTTTCTCCATAATCTCTCCCTGGGTTACATCATCCAGGCCCAGGGTCCCAATGCCCATTTTGATGCTGAGAATGCCTGTGCCATTATCTCTGGCAGGGATCTATGTGGGCTCCAGGATCACACTAATATAAATAGTACCAGTGGGGCTACAGAACCACTTCCCTCCACTCACTTGAACCTGGGCAATGTTCCAGGGCCAATCACCTAAACTTTGTCCTTAGGCTTACTACTCAGAGGCAGATGTAAGAAAAACAAAGACCCCCAAGCCTGCCCTAGAAAATTCTAAACCCCAAACCAGCACCCATGCATACCAGGTTTTCCTGCATGACCTACAGTAACCATTCTTTACTTGGAGGTCAGTGAAGGTTCATGCATACCTACTGTATCTCATACATCCAATTATAACAGAGTGAATTATGGGAAAGGACATCTGTGATAGATGCAGCTAACCCTGTCAATCACGTTGTCAATCATGCTCTGGAAGACCCAATGGGAGGAGCCCTAGATCCAGCCCAACATTTTAAATTCTTAAACCCAACACCTTCAAGAGCTCATGTTGAGCCATTTTCCTTTCTGCTAGCTCGAGCCTGCTCACTCTGAGTGTACTGTCACCTGATTAAAACTTTGCTACTTTTCCCTTACCATTATGTGCCATGTCTAATTCTTTGTTCATCACAAGAACTTAGGAACCCATCCACATCCCCATCACCAAAGTAATACCATAACCTGACATTTCCACTTGACCTCTCCACTTAGGCATCTCAAATTTGACAATCCAAAAAAGAAGACCTCCCTCAAGCCAGAAATTTAGGAGTCACCTTTGAGTCTTCCCTTTCCCTCACATCCAATCCATGTCTAAGTCCTTGGGAATCTACCTCCATAAAGTCTCTGGAACCCGTCCTCCTCTCTCCACCTCCAGCCAGCACCTGAGGCTGGCCCACTGCCCCTCATCTGTCACGATGCCTAGGCAGCCTTCCCACTTGCACTTCCCCATCCCCACCTGCGCTCCAGTCCCAACTGCCCCAGAAGCAAGAAGATCTTCAGTAAATGTAAACTGGGCCACATATTCCCTGCTTAGAACCCTCTGATGGCTTGTCAGTATTCTAAGATCAAGAGCATATTCCTGACATGGCCTCCTGGGCCCCTGAAGAACTGGCCCTGCCTATCTCCGCAAACCATCTATTAACCTTCAACACACAGGCCTTTCAGGGTCATTGAAGATCAACCTGTGACAATTTCCTTCCTAGTATGTACTGCAATGGACCTTTTTATATAGTTCCCAGTGTACTTGTTTTCCGCCTGCCTTTCCCTCTGCCCTCACCTAAGAGCTATGGGGACAGAGACCATGTCTGCTTGTTCATCCACTGACTGTCCTAACATCACTGGTTAATAAATCATTGCTGGGCTGGGGATTTAGCTCAGTGGTTCCACCGCCTGCCTAGCAAGTGCAAAGATCCCAAGTTTGATCCCAGGTACCAAAAAAAAAAAAATCATTGCTGCATGAACCTAAGAAAGGTCCATTTACAACCCAACATGGTGCCATGCAAGGGGGCTGCTGTGTTCACTCCTCAAAGAAGGCAGACCCATCTCTACCTGCCTCCTGTTCACCCACCAGGAACAAAGGTCTGGGCAGAGCAGGACACCAGTTGTAGAGCCAGTGGACACCTCTCACACAGGATCCCAGGAAGATGCCACACATTCTGTGAGCCAAGCACACAAAACCTTTTAGGGAAGCAGGATCCACCATGGCCAGTGGCTACCTGAGCCATGGCTCATTAAATGCAGCTAAGAATTATTTCAGCAAAGGGAGCTGCTGGTGGTAAAGGAGAATCACACACAAATCTTCCCTATCTTCTGTTAAGGACTCCTGGAGCTACTTGGAGAGAACTGAGGGAGGCCCAGGGGCCTTTTAACATTTGCTGCAGCTTTTCAGTTTGGGCACCACAAGGCTGGGTTAGACCCTTCCAAGCTGAAGCCACATGTATTTTGATTTCCACCCTATTTCTCAGAATTGCTTTTGCATTAAGCAATAAATTACTTGGTTGAAAACATCATTTTCTGCCCTTCAGTTAGAACACTGTGCTTTAAAATTTGACAAGTTTTAGGAATACTTAAAAAATGTTTGGTCACAATGAAAACAGCTTTGGTAACTCAATAGTTTTTTCCTCTGTGATTATAGCAGAAAGCTCATGGCCACGTTTTCTATAAAAATAACAACCTGGGAAAATAAAACAAAGTAGTCTACAAATATTTACCAGTTTTCACACATAATAATATGTAAAGTAATAGAGGTGCAGCACCTGACATTATAAAGTCTTCGACACTTGCCTAGAAGAAAAGGCCTGGTTTGGGGCCCTGTAAACTTCCAATCCCTAACTATATATCCTAAAGCATTCTTCCATGAATGAAAGGGAATTGTCTCTTATAGATATGCAGAAGTCTGTTGTCAGAGTTCAGTTCACAGGCATCAACCAGAAGCCTAGTGAGGCAGTTTGAAATTCTGGTCCAAATTAATTTTAAAAAGCTGAATTTGTACTGGAGCAGTTTCTATAGGCTTGGCTGAAGAGTAATTGATTTCACTGAAAATAAAGATCCATGTTTGATCCCAGCTGGAGTGTGGTTATATTTTTCTTGCAAATCTAATGTCTTGGGGTACAAAAGGCTGCTCTTTGTCTCCTTCCAACAATGTCTTCAGCACCAGGAAGGCAAGGAGGATGAGGTGGAGCCTTTCCCAGCATGCATACCAGGGCTGGGGTCCTATTGGATCTCATGCAGGGTAAGTAGAGGAATCAGAGCAGAAATGGCCTGGGTAGGTGACCTAGGAGTCGAGAAGAGGCTGATAGCTGCTTCTTGAATTATCCTCCTCTTTGTGTGGGAGGGGGTGTCTTTCACGTGGCCTCAATGCCAAAAGATACTCCCCCACCCCTACCCCCAGGACCCCAGAGGATCAGGTCACAACACCCCCATACTATGGAGGAGGGGCTGTCCCTCATCTACATCTCATGGGTGGAGTCTCCAGAAGAACCTGATGCAGAGTAGGTTAGGAAAAGTGCTCTGGAGGCACTGAGGTACTTTTTCTGGTGGAGTAAGGTGACTTGTGCTGCTCCAAGCAAATGAGTTCAGCCCTGAGCAGGACAAGGCTGTGCCAGACAAAATCCAGTTTCCAGGGTCCAAACCTGGGCTTGCTCACAAACAAACTGAGATGAACATCGGCCCAGAAACATCAAAGCAAGAGTCTGGTGTCCCTGTGGCTCAGCCTCTCAATTTCCTCTGGAGAGAAAGTATTGCCTCGGAGCCTGGAGGGATAAAGGGAAGAGAGGCTTGAGTGGGTACAAAATTAGAGCAGGGCTTTCAAAGGGAAGCTGCCACTCTTGAAACCCATGCCAGGGAGGGGCTGACCCTCCGGGTTTGTGGGAGGAAGTCAGTGCCGTTTATACCCTCTGTCACCCAGAGTGGCTCATGAATCATTCTGTGTGGTGAGCAAGGCTCCATGACTCTGCAAAAAGAGCCTCCCCCAGACTCCCCAAGGCTGGCCACTCTTTTTCAGGCAACAACTAAATCTGTCAAGCATGCAATGATCAAGTGCTGATGCCTTCCCCAGCTCCATGGGCAAGCCAACAAGGAACATCAGAACCCTTAAAATACTGACCTGATGCCAGCTTATTCCCTCCACACAAAATGTGACATTTCTTAGGGCTGTGCAATGGTTTAAAAAAAACACCCTGGCACTCAGGACCTGAAGACCTTGCAGGCTATGGGGTTACACAATCATACAGAAAGCAAAACCTCTTCGGCCCAGGGCAGATTTTAGAAGTTCTTGTTTTTAACTTCAACATTTGAGATTTATACTTCCTGCTATTTTGATGTGCTTCTTTGAGGGAGGGACAAGGTCTGCATATTTAAAGCAGGGATCACAAGCTAATAGAGATAGGCAGGTAAAATACAGCAACCAGTGGTAACAGTTCTAAATCAACAGGCCCGGCAGGTTTGCAGCCAGCCTGGAACAGGCCTGTCCATGTGAGGAGGGGCCCCCTTTCCCTCCTCTGGTTAACAAGTGGCTTTGCACATGGAGCACCAGAGTTGCTGGTGCTTTTGAGAAAATCCTAGAATATAGATCTTTATAGGAACTTTAAATATTGGTCTTTAGTTCAGTGACTTAAACATATACAGTGACATTTGCTCAGGATGGGTTAGATCAGGCAAACACTTTCTACTTGACACCTGGGTGAAAAATAGACCCTTGAAAACAAGGAGGATCAATCTTTGAAGCTGTGACTCAATGCTTTTTGCAAATGCATAAAGGGCTGTGGCTTTCAGTGATACAGACATGGATACACCATGGTACAGTCCCCACCCGTGTCACCTCAGGTCACATACGACATCCCAGCAGAGATGGGTGTACTGCCCAGCAGAGCAGCAGCTGAATTCTTTTCTCTTATTTTCGTTCTTCATCCACACCCCCATTCCTACCCTGTTGCTTAGAATAGCAAAGTTCAGAGTAAATACTTCTGATTTTAAAATGAAAGCACAGGCCCCTGTTTAGAGGTGTGAAGACTTCCTTCCCAGCCTGACATCTGAATCTATCACAAACAGAATGACACCAAATGTCAGAGCAAGAAAGGAGCTTTAAAAAGGCTGCTGTTCCTTTCTCCCCTCATCCCATTTTACAGATAGGAAAACTGAGGCTCAGAGAGGTAAACGGGTTTCCCTAGGGTCCTTACCAAACTTCCAGGATGGTGTTGTTGCTTTCAAGGGCCTGCAGGAGGGCTTCTGCACCCCGGTAGGTGACACTGTTGTTGGACAGCCTGGAGAAAAAGATGGAACAGGGGCATCAGAGATGCTGGGTTTCCCCGTTGAGCCTGTCCAGTTATGGCAGCCTTACTGGAGCCCACCTCCCCCCACACATAGACCTCTCCTGGCTGAGGTTCAGTGAATGCATCCTTCTCTTCTTGGTTAAGTACCACTACTTTAGCATCAGGGTTCAAATCCAACCTACAGCACTGCCTTTTTGATCTTAAGCAAATTTGTCCCAATATTCTCACCTGTAAAATGGGCCTGAAAGAGCACTCGCCTCATGGCATGTAAAAATTGAGCAAAGAATGGCATATCTAAAGCACTCAGCACAGTAGCTGACTGGTAGGAAATAATCAGCAAACAGTAATATTTTTAGATGAAGGGTCTCAGCACACAGGGCCACAGGTTAGAGACAACGGAAGGCTGGCAATGGGAGGGGAGGTGGGCTACAGTCAGGGAGGGCAAGGGAAGATTCCTGGGTTTCCTGTGCCACTCTTTTGCTTATGGCTTTACCTCCCAGTGATGTTCACTTCCTGCCTTCCCTCCCTCCACAGTGTAGGTGCTTCCTTCACACTGACCCTAAAACAATGCTAAGAAAAAATGGCCAGTATTTCCCGGTTCTTTGCTGTGCCAACTTGATACCTGCACTGTCACTGAATACTCACAACACTGTGAGGCAGCGCCAGTTAACCCCACTTACACTCTGGGCAACTGAGGCACATGTCCAGGGAGAAACAGCTGCAACAGGGGAGCTGGGATCTGAACCCAGGCTGTCTGGCAGTAGGGCCTGGGCTCTAACAAACCCTTGGCAGAGAAAAAAGCTAGAAAAAGAAAGAGGTGGGCACTTCTCTTTCTCTCTTTAACAATATACCTGCAGCTTGTTTTTTATGGGAAAATAGTGGGGGATGATATTGTTCAGGATGTTGAATAATAAGGCTGATGACAAGGTCGTGTGGGACAACTCCCACCCCCACCACTGCTTGGCATCTTCCAGGGTCGAGTGGGTGAGTCTGTGGCAGTGACGGAGGACAAGCTTGCCACACCCACACCTGGTGGGTGATGGACCACGTATCGCCCAAGGTGCCCCTGTGTACAAAGCCAGCATCCAGCTCAGACAAATCCTGGCTTCATCCAGGCCACCAGCTCATTTGCACCCAAGTGCCAGGAGGAAATATTTTGCCCAAACATTGGCAACTCCCTACCCTCTCCCTGCAAAGCAGCACAAACACATGTCGTCAGGGCGGATGGCGGGCGGGCTGGCAGCAGGGCTGACAGGCACTCAGAGGCAGCTGTCCGCCTGTCTCTGGAGGCAAGTGTGTTCCTCAGGCCACATTTGCCAGGGCAGATGCCACCTTCCTCCAGCAAAAGGAGCCATCCCTGGTGCCCTGGGGACCCCTGAAGTGAGACCTCTGGTAGCACCCTCCGAGAGCACGGACATAGCCCTCGATGACATGAGGTGGGCTCCTGTCACACCCACTGCCGTCTCCTGTGGCACAGGTCCCTGGCCAGAGTCCAGCACCACAGAAGGCCTCAGTGCACCATCCCAGTCCTGCTGCTGTCTGGCTCTCCAGACCCACAGGGCCATAAGCTCCTGTCCCTTTGGCCAGGCTCTCTGCTGAATGAGTCTAATCCTAGCTTCCTCCTCTCCCACTTGGACAACTAAAGAGGCTCCTGCCTGCTTTCCCTGTCCCCTTTCCCTTCTTCCATACTGTCCACACAAAGAGACAAGAGTGATCCTCTGTGTTTTAAGTCAGACCACACAGCTGCCCTGATGAGAACCTCCAAAGGCCTCCCACAGCCCTTAGAATAAAACCTCAAGTCATTCCTGGAGCTCTGAGGCTCTGTGACATTCCAATGGCAGGGTGGGTTCTGCTCACAAATCACCGCACCTGTGTCTGCCCGGGCCCTTTCCACTTGTTGTTCCATCCGCTCACCTGGGATGTGCTTGCCTGAGAACTCAGCATGGCGGCATCTTCTTGTTCATTAGATTTCAATCCAAATACCACAGCCCTGCCAAACCAGCAGCAACCCCGCCCTCTCCCTGTCATGTCTCCTCTTGAACCAGAAATGACTTTGTTTGCTGGTTTGTTATCTGTCTCCCCCATCAGAATTTAAGAGCTGGGTGGGTGGGGGCCTGCTCTGTCCTTTACAGCTCTCTGCCCTCAGTGCCCCGAGCAGCACATGGCCCAGAGTGGGGGGCACCAGAAACATTTCTTGTATGAATGCACAGATGGGTGAATGTGTGCATAGATGAACGGACAAATATGTGACAGGTACTTGGTGGACAAATGTCCCCACTTCCTTACCCACTGGCTGAATGGGCAACCAGGCGTGTTCTTCCCTGGCTCCGAGAGGCCCCCAGCAGTCTGGATTCTAATTTCCCTCAGTGACAACTGAGCTAACAACCATCCTTGATTGGACACATCCCTTCCTCACTCCCTTCACTACTCTTGCCCCAGGCTTCCTGCACACAGCCTGCACCGGAATCCACATCTGCCCAGACCAAGAAGAGCTGTTTCCCACCAGGCAAGGCATATGAGTGCCTGGAGCTGGGAAGCTGCCCAGGTCTCGGACCACAAACCCCATCCCATTAACACCGGGCTCCTGTTTACAGGTTCCTTACTTCAGCACTTTCAAACTTGAATTTCTCTTCAGTCCTTCCGCGAGAGAACACACACCTTCATCGCAGAGGTGGTTCTCCTCCAGGCTAGTGAGAACAAAGGGAGAATCCAATGGATACAATAAGATTTTAGTACAGAAGATGATGTCCATAAAGATTGACTCATGTGTTCCCCACTCCATTCATGTAGAAAATCTAACATCTGAAAATCCAAACTTATGGTTAAGGTAGAGGACAGGATTTTCAATTTCAGGGACACCTGAGCAAGAGAATAAACTTCCAGGATCTTCTACATTAGTTTCTTTTTATGACTCAAATATCCCATGTCCATGTTCCATTTCTTTCTTATTAATAGAAATATCATTTCATTTGGAGCAGCTATTTCTTGGTGGGAAAAAAAAAAACATTTCCAACTCTCCACTGCAGCTAGGCTTGGCCAAGTAACTACACAGAGCCAATGATACACGGGGGAAGTTGACAGATGGGATTCCGTGAATGCTTTTCAAGGAGAGAGACCCAACTGGCCTATGCCTTATGCCCTTCTCAGGTATATACACTAAACCCTGAGAATCATAAGTAATTGAGGCAGCCAACCACAAGAACAAAGTCAAAGGATGATGGAACAGAAAGAGAGAGTCCAGAATTGAAGCTGGACATGGTGCCATACCCCTGCAATCCCAGCACTCTGGAACGCTGAGGCAGGAGCATAGTGAATTTGAGCCTAGCCTGGGCAACTTAGCGACTTAGGGAAACCATGTCTCAAAATTTTAAAGATGAAAAAAGGGCTGGGAATATAGCTCAGTTCAAGAGCCCTGGGTTCAACTCCTACTACCTTTTTTCTTTAAAGAGTTGAGACCCCTGTTAGCCCTTTGTAGCCACAATAACAGCCCTATACTACCAGCCTCCAAACTGCCTATATGTGAAAAAATAAACCTTTCAATGATTTAAGCTTCTGTAGATGGAGATTTTCTATCATAGGCAATTTAAGGAAATGTTAAAGTTAATTTGGCCTGAAGTTACCTCCATATTCTGAGTTCTTTTTTTTTGGTACCGGGGATCGAACTCGGGACCTTAAGCTTTTGAGGCAGGTGGCAGAACCACTGAGCTAAATCCCTGGCCCACATACTCTGAGTTCTTATGCAACAAACTGCTATCTAACTTAGAATGTAAACAAACTGAAACTTAATAAGAGTATATTCTTGTAATATATAGCTGAGTCTCAACCAATCATAGCAGCCAAGCTTCAGCCAATCACAGGCTGCCAACTCATCACACTATGCCCAAATAAGGCAAATGCAGAGCTGAAATCAACCAAACATTTTCTGTCTGTAAATACACTTTTCCCATATTGCTGGGTGGAACTCTCTGAACCTCTCCAGGTTCTGAGTGCTACCTGATTCATGAATCAGTCTTTACTCAAATAATCTTGACTGAATTTAACTTGTCTCAAATTGTTCTTTTTATTAGTGATCATAACTGATATACTCACACTAAGCTACTTCTCTACCAAGAAATAACAAATTCCAATCAGGATATAATCAGTGATACTTTAGCAGAGTTAATAAGCCCAGCCAACAGCCAAGGCCCATTCGTAATATCCATTTTGTGGCGATGCTTCTATGTTTCAGGATTTTTCTACTTCCTGGAAAAATAAACATTCAACATTTTATCTCCCTGATATATGTGGAACTGCAAAGATGTCCCTGGAGTAGAAGATTCTGTTATGGCATCTAAAGGATGGTAAACTAGGAATCTCTTCAGGTCAACAATATAAACATAATTCCTGGTTCATCTTTCAAATATTCCCAGCACCATCACTTTCCAAGGTGAGCTCTGCTTTTAATGCTCAGTGTTCTTAGAAGCTCCAATTTACTTTAAAATAACAAAGCCTTACTATTAGTAGTAATCACAGTACCGGTAGTAGTTGTAGTCATAGCAGCAGAAGCAACAGTAGTAGTAACTTTACCACTGTTATGTTTTAACATTTATAGTGTGCTTACACATATGCCAGGCACTATATTAAACTGTTCACTGGCAGATGTTCTTACAAACATCTTTTTACACTTGGAAGAATTCTATCTCTAATTTTACAGGTAAGAAACTTGAAATTCAGAGATTGTTGTTTAATTTGCCTGAGATCAGAGCCTGCTGATTCCAGAGTCTGTGCTTTTAACCATCATGCCATGTGCAGTTAGCAAATAAACCAGCAAACCAATCAATATAATTGAATAAAAAGAATTAGCAGCTATACAGATGGCTATCTAAGCTTCCCACCACTCAGTACATAAAAAAACAAATACAATCAATCACTCAGCCATCAACTTTGTCTTATCCACAGAGCTGCTCCCTGGATGAGGCCAGGTTATCAAGAAAGACAGGGAATCCCCAAAACTCACCAGAGTTCTTCTAGTGCCATGTTCTTTTCCAACATCTGTGCTAAGGCTTGGGCACCCACACTGCCAATGTTGTTCCCCACTAGGCTGGACATAAGCATGCAATAAAAATGTGTCAGAGCAGGGCAGAACCTTAGAGACAAGCTAACCAGTGAAAGGCAAACTGTATAGCACATGTAGCCCCACTCTCCAAGTACTCTGTTTCAGGCATAGATAGTTGATTACAGGTCCTTAACCCCAGGAGCAGCCTAGACTCCTTCCCAACAGGGTGCACTGGGTAGCCACCATCAATGTGTTGGAATTGTCTTTAAGACAAAATGTGACTGATTCCACTGGGGAATCAAGACCCCAAGAGGTGTCATTTCCAAAGTCACCTAGAGAGCCTCCACCAAATTCAATGGTCTATCTCCCTCACCCTGCTGCCCAGTACAGAGGAAATGAACTGAAGTTCAATGATCTTCAAAACTGGCCCAACCGCCCACCTCTTCACCCACTGTGACAAATGCAGGTCAGATCTTACAGTTTACCTAAGCCACCTCAAGCTGTGGTGATCAACCAAGGCTTCGGCCAGGGCCTGCGCACCCTTGTCACCCACAGTGTTGCCCCAGAACCTGAGAAGGCAAACAGAGTCCACAGAGAGTGTGAGTGTGAGTGAGTACCTGCTACGCGTTCAGACAAATGCTATGTCTCCTGTTCTTTCCAGCCCTAACAAGAGGGGCAGGGCCACCCAGTTCTGGAGGGATCTCATGGAAACACTTTAACCCCAGCAAAATGGACCTGCTGCCATCTTTGTGGTGGGATGGCCAAACTTCACTCAGACATTTCAGGGACTTTAAGTCAGAATTTAAAAATAATAGAGGCCCACCTAGCTCATATCCTCAGGGATGGGGAACTGGCTCCGAACTGTAATTCACATGGTTATGACACATTTCCTAATATTTAGCTCAGATTTTCTTCTGGCAGCTGACACTCACAAGTCTGTGTCAGGTAAAAAAGGCCAAAAACCAAGACCAGACCAGGCAACAAGCCTTTATTGCAGGGATAATCTGCCCGGCTATCTCTGAACAAAGGAGAGACAAAAGCAATATGGTCAGGACGGGGAATGCTTCTTATAGGAGCTGGGGTTGGTCTTGTAGGAGCTGGGGTGGGGTTGAGTGAGGTAGTGGCTAGGGACTGGAGGGGCCTGTGACATCACCAGTTGTTAGGAGGAGAGCAAGTATTAGGTTACTCTTTTGGCAGGAATAGGGGCATGTTGGGAAGAAGGTTGTCCTTTGGTGGGGGAAGCCATCTGAGGGTGGCTTTAGGTGGGAGCAGGGCATTATGGGAAGAAGAAGGCAGCTATTATATATAGCAGCCACCCTAAATCAGAGGGAAATCTATCAGTCTGTAACTAGCTTGGGGCACCACCGGGGAACAAGTCTAACTCTTCTTCCACAAGCCAGCTCCTGGTCTCTTGTTTCTTGTAATCCCCCAATTTCTTCCTGGTGTCCAACTCCTTCACCTTTTGGGGCATTGCTTCTGACTCACCGTACTTCGGAAACATCCCTTTGCAGAAGGCACCTAGATAATGGCCATCATGCACTTGGGGACTTGCCCTGGGTGCACATGGCAAGAGTGAGTGCAGACAGCTGTGTGAGGGTGTTCACTGTGCTTTCACTCACTAGGTGAGAATGTAGTAAGCACTAGCTCTGTGCCCTTGGGACATGACACTGTGATGGTCAAAAACCTGGAAACATCCCAAGTGCTCATCAACAAGTGACCAAACAGTGGAATACTACGCAGCTCTTCTTTTAAAGAATGAGGCCACGATGATCTGAAAAGATCATAATACATTACAAAGCAAATTTTTAAAATGCGAGTTACAGAACAGTTTGTATCATATTATGGTTTATGAGGATGGGGTTTTAGCACAGTAAACCCCAAACAGGTACCTTAATAAATACATGTTGAGAGAGAAGTAAATGCCCCAGATGTGGTAGATGAGACCTCAGGAAGAAAACAGCTCAGTGGGCCTGGGGCCTCCTTTGTTCTAGACTCAGTTGCTAGTGACACAGCGTGAAAAAGGTGCTGGTTTCTGGAGCACCACATGCATGGCTCAGCTTGTGGGTGACTTGCCTGCCCTTGAAATGGGTGGAACACTGGAGCCCTAAGATTATTTTCTCTCCTTGGATTTTGTAACCCCAGTTTTTGTCAAATGGACCTCAGTCCACACAAGACAGAGGCTTCTGGGGATGACATGGGTACAACCTTGTGAGGAACTGCTCTGCCCAGGGACCAGAGGAAGCCCTGCTCAGGGCCCTGTGTATTGGACTTGAGGCCCTCCCAGGTGAGAGCCCAAAGGACCTCCCCTGCTGGGTCCCTTCTCCTTCTTCTCCACATCCTCTGCTGCGTCAGGGGTCCACACCCTGGACACACAGCCCCTGGATATTTCCATTTCATCTTCTGGCACAGGGCCCAGGTGATGGTGTTCTCTAGAAGCACAAATGCTTCCATGGTGCAGCCACAGCCCAGCCCTGAGCACCCTCAAAGACCTACCGGCTTCCTGTCCCCATCATGGGCCCTGCCCTGCCCCCACCCTAACACCAGGAACTTCCTGTTTATCAGGTGGAGAAGCCAAGGCAGAGGCAGCCTAGGGCCACCACTCTCCCCAGACGTCCTCCTCCCTGAATCCTGAGCTGCCTCTGGGGGTTCCTGGCTAAAGAGTTTCACCTGCCCCTGAATTCCTGAAAGCCCCTGAATTTGGCCCAGAATCCAACCTACCCCAAAAACTGAAGGGAAGCATTGCTTCGGAGGCCCTGGGCTAGCACCTGTGCACCTGCGGCAGTGATGTGATTGTTCCCAAGCCTGGAAGAGAGGACAGAGGTGGCTGAAAGCACAGCCAAGGGCAGGGGACAGGCCTGTCATGCATGCCCTAGTAAGGGAGAGTCTCTTCTCTCTCTGGCTCTGCAGGCCTCTCTCCCAGACAGGCGCAGCCACCAGCTCAGCTGACCTTGCTCAGTGGCTCTAAAAACCTCTATTTGTTCTCTAGCAACAGAGGGAACAGGAGCATGTGTTTTGCAAAGCAGGGCAACAGGTTTGGGCAGGAAGCACAGCAGGTAGTTTCCTGGAAGGAAACTTCCTGATCCCAGGGGATCAGGAAGGTGGTTTTCTACTGTAGTACCTTCCCTATTGGTTTCAGCCAGCCATAGTCTAGGGGAAAGGTACTTCTGTGGACTTCCCAGATCCAGATCCTCTGTAGCCACAGGAAGCATCTACCTAATGTGCCAGGCATCTACCTGTTCAGGCTGAGGTGTTTGTGCTGCTGATCAAGGATCCTGAGCTATCCTACTGGGAGCACTCCCTGCAACCTCAAGAGGGCTGCTGCAGGAGAAAGGGAGTGACGGATCCCAGCAAGGAAGGCTCCAGCTGCAGCCAAATCCAGACCCCTCTGGAAGTATCACAGAAGCTCCTGTAACTCTCACCCACAACTCCCAGATTCCTGGAATAAACACAATGTGCTTTCATCTGTCAAAGACCTCTGGGCCACTCTGGGTGACAAAAACCTTATGAGGCAGTTGTTATCCCCTTGGAGGAGGGGTTGGTGCCATGAGATTGTGCTTCTGAGACCTCCAACTTCAGCTCTCTGTGAGTTATTCCTTTGGGGTGCTGTGCTCTGAAGTCCAACCCCACAGCCTGTACACAACCAGCTTCTCACAGCCTGCTCCCAGCCAGTGACTGAAACACAGGAGACCCCCCTGCAAGGCAGACTGAGCTGAGGGGGCCCCAGAGGTCCACTGAAGTCCACATTCCTCCCAAGCTTCCTTCTTCTCTTCCTTCCCACTCTCTTTTGAGCAGGATCACATGTCCCAACCTCCCCAAGCTCCTTCTTCATTCAAACTTGGAGACATTTTCCCCAATAAATCTACTGCACATCTAATCCCTTCTTGGAAGCCTTAGCATAAGGACAGACAATCTGTGAGCTTACGTAATTTACCCACGAGCTTTCGCTGAGCTTGTTATATAAAGCACTTACTGTACTGTACCAGCACTTTACATATATTAACTCACTTCCCACCAAACCACCTCTGAGATGGCTATAACCATTACCCTCATTTTACAGGAGGGAAAACAGAGGCACAGAGACATGAAGCTGACCCAAGGTCACACAACCAATGAGGTTTCAAATCTTGGGGTTCCTAGATTCACACATCATGGGCTGTCTAGTTCCAGAGGCCTTGCTTTCAAATGATAATGTACTGGCCACAGACCCCAGCATCCTGTGCTACCCACACTCCTCCCTGGGCAGATGGGGTGGGGGGTGACAATGGCAGAACAGAACCTTGCACAAAATGTCCCCAGTGGCTATAGCCTGGCCTCAGCAGCCCTGGCAGAGACTAAGCTTCGTGGCCAAATTATTAAATGGCAGCTCCTATCCCAAAATCCATCCCCGCAAGTGAAAAGAATTGTTGGCAGCAATTCTTTAAGGAGGCAAGACCATCATAGAGAGAAAGCCAAGCCAACCCAGGGACCAACTGGAGGGTCATTTCAATGGCATCTCATATGAGAGACTCAAGCAACAGAACAGCAGGCCTCCTGGATAGAGGCAAAAACCTCACCTGCTCCAAGTGGTGAAAAGCCTCTGGGAGCATTTCAGTCAATGGCTGCCACCACTGTAGTGGCAAATGACTGTGTGTGCGTCTCTCAATGCACTCAGTGTGCACCAGAGAACCACTACCTCCAGAGAACTTGTGACACTCAGAGACACAGGGAAAGAAAAGGGCCTGGAAACTTGTTCATCCTGAGGGCTAAAGGTTCAGAGAGCAGAAAACCCCAGGAGTGCTGGCCCAGAAGAGCCCACAGCACTGGAGAAACCCAGCTCTGTCCTGTGTCAGGGGTCACAAACCCACTGGGGCCAGGCCAGGATGGAAACAGGACTACACTGATTCGGCTTTGGGAAAATTAGTTTCCAGGGCACAAAGAAAACGAGGGCTCACCTCAACGCCAAGAAGTTCTGCTTGCACTCAAGGAGCTTGGCCATGGAGTGTGCACAGCCATCAGTCAATCTGTTGTTGAACAAACTGTTGTGTTGCAAGAGAGAGGACACATGGAGACAAAGTGTATGGCCAGTGAAACCTCAAACCCAGGCTTGCCCATTCCCACCAGGCAGGAGTCACCCTGCACCCTCCAGTCATGCAACCCCCCTGCCCTGACCCATCTCTCACTCCTAACTGCCCAGGCAGCTCGGCCTGGAGTGAGACTAAGGGTATCCAGTGTCCACAGGCCAGCCCAACTTACGCCAGCTTCTGCAGCTGCCCATAGTGCAGAGCATATTCAATGAGCTTGCAGATACCTCGGTCTGAGATATTGTTATCACGCAAACTAAAAAAAGACAAAATAAATTAATTCAAAAGTAGAGCTGATAAAATTGGGGGGAAAATGTATGGAAAGACTCACTCATCCCCAAAGTGTCAGCACCTATGGTTCTGGGAATCACCAGAAAGACAAAACATCCCAGAAAAGTGGAGATGTCCAGCATCTCTGGCCAGAGAGCTATGATGAGGACAGTCCAAGAAGTGGGGACCCAGTGCCCCACCAAAGAACATTTCAATCCTCCAAAAGTCACAGATCTACCTTGAGGCCCAGTTTCTGTCTCTACAAAAGGACAACAATCATCACAGCAGCCTCACTGGGACCCCAAGGTGGAAAGGAGTTGATCTGTGAGAAAGATGAGCCAGAACCATCTCGGGGCATTACCTCCCAAAATCACCTGATCATGAGGTCATCTGAAAACTTCCATGAAATGCAGAAGCTCAGGCCTCTATCCTGGAGCCTGTGGGTCTATACAGGACTCAGGGGTCTATGTATTTTAGCAACTGTGGTGCACATAGTTCTTCATCTTCAGGCAAACCTGGGAGGTCCTGACTAAATGATTCTCTGCCCAGGCACTGGAGTCCCTCAGCCACACACCAGCCATCTGCTGGTCCCTTCATCTACAAGAAGGAAATGATGGCACTGCCACCCTCACCAGGCCGTGCATATAAAGCCCTGAGAGCAACAAGCGAAGAGTAAGAGTCACCTGCAATCATAAGCACTAGCATGTATGGGGAGTTCTGTGCACCTGGCAGTTCCCAACAGTAACCTTATTTAACCCTCACCACAGCCCACGAAGCAGGTGCTACAATTAAGTCCACTGGAGAGAAAAACTGAGGCACAAACAAGGGAAGTGACTGCTAAGACTGCACCACACATCTGGCTCCAAATCCCACCCCTAACCACCATACTGAAGTCTCCCTCTTGTGGCCTTCCCTGGTTCTCTAAAGCCTGTGACCCATGAGTGGGCCAGAAAACCAATCTTGAAGGTCCTGAGCAACATTTTAAAAACTGAAATAGAACAGACAGAAGAAGAGAGTGGAGTGTATCAGAATTAACAAGGGAAAGTCATTTCACGAAGATTTTGTCTTGATTCTCCACCCTGGTGTCCTGCTCACTCACTTGTCCTCTCACTCACTGTGCATCACAGCCAAAACCTCCATCACCCTCGAGTCAGAGGAAGTCAGGGTCTAAAGAAACCTGCGTAGGGGCACTTCGCACACTTGGTTTCCCAGAGGCTATGGGTTTCCGTTGGCATGGAAACTCGAGAGGGAGAGATGCTGCCTGGCACTGCGGGAGAATTGCCAGTCCCTGCTCCTCCCTTCCTCTCTCCTTCTCTTCCTCTGTGAACACACAGACACACACACACACACACACACACACACACACACACACACACGAAGAATGCCTACACAGCAACTTCATAGTCATTTGGTCAAGGACTTTAACTGCTGTGTTAGCGTTCCATCACTATAACAAAATACCTAAGGTAATTAACTTATAAAGAGAAAAGGTTATTTTGGCACACACTTTTAGAAGCTCCAGTCCATTATCTATGGGCCCCAATGGCTTTTGGGCCTCTGATGAGGCAGCACACCATGGCAGCAGTGTGTGAAGGAGCAAAACTACTTGCATCATGAACCAGGGCACAAAGAGAAAGAAACAGGGGCCAGGGTCACATGATCTGGATTTCAAGACCATGCCTCCAATATCCTAAAGACCTCCCACAAGGCCCTACCTATAAAAGGTTCCAACACTTCCCCATTACGCTAACCTGGAGATCAAGCTTCTAACACAAGAACCTCTAAGGGACACTTACCCAAACCACAGCAACTGCTAATGGAAAATCAAGCTGATTCCTGCATATCAGTAGTTCCCACCATGTGAGACCATCCATATCAGAACCACCAGTGATGTTTGCTAAACATACAGATCCTGAGGACCCCAGCCCAAACCTAGTGAAAGGGAATTACTGGGAGCAGACCCAGGAATCTGTGTTTCAACAAGCATCTTTGCCTGCTGCAGTCTGAGCATCACAAGCTAGAACCAGGTCAGCCTCCCTTTTCTCTAAGAGTAAAAACAGATCCAGATCCACAGGCTCCACAGCCCTTCTGCACACCACCAGGGTGGGGTGGTGTTGTCAAATGAACATTCCTAGTTGAAAAAATATCCACTCAAGAATTCTCAGGTTGGACTGGTCTGTTAACATCATCCAAGTGAGTGGTACTGGCCTCTTGAGGTTCAAGGACCCTTTTGAGAACCTGGTAAAAACTACGGTCCTATTATCCAGAAAAATGCACATTCAAATTCCTATCAGAAAAACAGCTTCAACAGACATGTCTCCAAATTCCCCAGTCAAAATACCAAGTTATCCCCCCACCCAAAGGAAACGGACCACTATGCTGGCTGCATTCCATTTACCTGGGCAAATCCACTCTCCCCCTCCTCTCCCAAGCTCTTGGGCCTGGAAGGTGGATACCTGTGGATGACATCAGCAGGCAGATGGCTCTGCCTCACTGTTGGGGTCAGCCAGTGCAAGGCACTGGCAAGAAGTGGTGTTGGGAGAGGAGAGGGGTTTATTCTCCCAGATTCCAGGTTGCTGAAGCTCAGGTGGCCCTCACTGTACCTTCCTCTCAGCTACTAAGTTCTTTCTTCCCCCTCCCTGCCTTTTATGCCCACTGATCTGCTAGACCCAGGACCCTTGTTCAGCCCTTTTTGCTCTTCCTAACCTCTTTCCTCAGCTCTATTGTCACTCCTTTTATAAACTCTCCTTGAATTACCCAATTTAAGTGTGACATCTGTCCCCTCCAAGACTCTGTACATAATACACATATTATGTGTTAAGTATACATAGTTTATATTACGTTATAAACTTATGACCTCAGTCCCTGTGTAAGGGTTAGCAAGACACTGCTTTGCCTCAGAGAAGATAAACATCCTAATGCATTCAAGGAGAGTCTTGTCCTTTGATTGGTATCAGTTAAGGTCACCTGGAAATAGCCCCAAAGCCCCAGGAGGCTATGAATAGATTAACTTTAATGTACAACTCCTGCTTCTTAATAAGGTAAAGGCCAGGAGGGAAGGTGGAAAGCTGGTGGCATGCTGGTCACCAGGCCAGAGCATGCCCTCTGCCCTCACCTGCCTCAAGCCTTGGAACACACTTGTCCAAGTGCACAAAGAGCAGAACCTTACATCCTCATCAGGTGGTGAGGCGCAGCTAGGTAATAATACCCAGTCCTCCTTGGATACCACACTGCCCAAGGAATAAAAAGATGAATGAAACTCTGCAACCACTTTCTCTCTCAGGTCCTGAGATGCCCACATTTTGGGGATTTTAAAGTGTCATATAGGGCACACATCACCTCTGATCTGAAGTATCCTAATACCTGCACACATTACATGGAACTGCACCCAACCTCAGGGTTTCCCTGGAGCCTTAGCAGGGCATCCACAGGCAACTTGTGGGGTGTAGGAAACTTGCGACCAGAAAGATGTAATCTGTGAAATCCAGCTCACTGTTTCCTGTGTGACCCCAGACGAGTTACTGAGCCTCAAATCAAGGAGAATGGGGATAATAGTGTCCCTGATGACAGCCCAGAGATGAGGTCATTCCAGAAAGTGTAGCACAGAGCCTGCATTCAATAAGATGGGGCTCTCCTTATCATTTGTCCAAACTAAAAGCCCCAAGCAGGGAACACATCTGGCCTGCATTGTACAGAAGTGTAGCAGAATTGGGGCCAGGCCCAAACTTCCAGATCTCAACCAGGTGTTCCCATGCCTAACCTTGATGGTGGCATCGCTCCATGCCCAACCAGGAATGCCCAGCAACACTCACTAAAGAGCCTTGCAGACACCAAGGCAGGGCAGCAGTTGCTCCACGCCAATGTCACCCACAGAGTTGTAGTCCAGTTGCAAGGCCAGAGGCTGCTGGAGGTGCCGCAGCACAAAAGCCAGGGCAGCACACTCAGTGGGGCCCACACTGCAAAACGTCAATTTGAGGTGTTCGACATCCAGCCCCCTCACGGCCTCCCTCGCCAGCCGCTCCTCCTGCATTTCATACAGGCTCCGGATGAGCCAGATGAAGCCGGGCATAGCATGCATGCTCTTCGCCTCACCTGGCACGGCTGGTGGGATGCAATGGAAGTGCTTGCGGAGGCTGCGGGCCAGACACCAGCGGGCACAGGCCTGGCGCCGGAGCAAGGCTTTCTCAGGCACCTGGCACTCAGCTAGCAGGTCCAGGTGCTCCCGGGACAACAGCCCCGCCAGGAAGGCTGCAGTGATCTGAAGGTTGTGTGGCTCAGCCTTCTGTAGCAAAGCCGCCGCACTGCCCTCTTTGGTCCTGGGGCTCTGGACACACAGTGCGGGTAGCAGCCTGGTCAGCTGGGAGATCCCTGGCCTGTGACACTTGAAGAGGTGTCTGAGTGAGGCTGTTGGCACATCGGCACAGAGCACAAGGTAGAATGCAGCAAAAAAGCACTGGAAAGTAATGTGCAGGAATTCCAGGGGTGCCATACTCCCTGGCACCACACCTTGGGCACGCACCAGAAAGCCAAGAGAAATGTCCTCAGGGTCAAGCTGTGCCATCTGGAGCTGCTGGGCTGAGAACACATAGCAGCACCTGCCCAAGCCCCAGAAGGCCAGGTAGCCGAGGTGCAAGAGTGAGGGCAGCTTGCCCTGAAGGAGGCCGGGTCCCAGGCCATGGGAGATGGCATCTGGAGGGGAGGCATGCAGCAGAAAATGCTGTAGAATCAGGAGATACATATCCGTGGTGGTTTTGGGGGACCCCTCATTCTGTAGCAACAGTTCCTGGTGGCATTTGGACACCATCCAGGAGAAGACAGGAAGGTGGCACAAACCATGCAGGACAGAGGTCGCTCGGAGCAGCTGGATGAGGCGGTCTGCTACGCCGGGGTCCTGATGGCACTTCCTCAGGTACAGCTCGATGCCCTCCTCTGAGAAGCCCCGGAGGTGACACTCTGTGCGCACATACTTCCTGAGGCATGCTGACACTGCATCTGGACGGCTGGTTAACACCTTGCGGGCATTCTTCAGCAAGTTGCCCTGAAGAAGGTTGAAAAGCAGAGTCTGGACCGATGTAGGGTCAGTTGGAGAACAGTGACGCTCTTGGTCTGTGAACTTGAACCTGAACTCATCAAAGCCATCAAATGTCAGTAGAACACGGTCAGGGTGGTCAAGGAGGAATTGGAAGACATCCTGTTGACCAGCATCAGGCCAACAGCAGTACTCAAAGAGCAGCGTCCTTACAGACAGTGGTTTGGCCACACACTGCAGCTGCCGGCAGCTGAATGGGAAGACAAAGAGGAATTCCTGGAAGTCCTGCCCAGTAGCCCACAGCAAGTGCAACCGCTGCAGGAGTGTACTCTTGCCGCTGCCTGCCTCGCCCACCAGCAGCACAGTGTCTGCATCTTCGTTGAGGTGGCCTTGGGTGCTGAAAAGCTCCTCCAGGCCCAGGTTAGCAGGGCTCTTCTTCCAGGCTCCAACCATGCCCACCTCTGTCCGAAGCTCCAGGATGTTCTCCGTGTAAATGTCCTCCAGGCAGAGATTCTCCACCCCATCATAGGTACTGAGGGAGCGAGACTGAGCAGATACCGTGGTCCTCAACTTGGATATGTACTTTTGGCATTCAGCAGCTGCAAGACATAAGAGGCTAATGAGGGTGGGTCCATGGTCACAATGGGAGCTACCCACACAGCAGGCTGAGGTTTATGTCACTGATGAGAGAGAAGAGCCATGGGCCTATCCGAGGCCTCAGTTTCCTCCCCCGTGAGGTTGGAAAAATGATGGTCCCTACCTCATAGAACTCTGGACCAACTGAGATAACTCATGTCAAGGGCCAAGAACAGTGTCTAACAGAAAGTACACAAAAGACAGCAGCTATCACCACAATTATTACTGGCACCAGGAAGTGCTGTGCTGGGGTCAGAAGACTTGTGTTTGGATGTCTGTCCCACCACACTGGCAAGGTGGCCTTAGAAAGTCCATTCACCACTCACCCTTGACTGATTCTTTCTAAAGGGAAGCAAAGAGTGTAAGGGCACAGGAGTTCAGAGTCCGAAGTCAGACACTCCCTGGCCTGTGCCTAACTCAGGCAAGGCCCCCAGCCTGTCTGCACTTCAGTGTTCTTATCTGCAAATACGGGACAATCCATTCAGTGCTCGTGAAGCACTGAGATAAAATGGAGCTTAGAAGACTATCTCTCACTTGATAAATAATCCAAAAATGTGTTTACTATATTATTAGTGTATGCAGTAGGCACAACATTCCCCCACTCCAAGATGTCCAAGTTCTGATCCCTGGAACCTGTGACTATGTTTCTTACAAGGTCAAAGGGACTCGCAGATGTGATGCAGTCAGAGACCCTGAGGTAGGGAGACAAACATACATAATCTGCCAAGCCTAGCACTGCAGGGCCTCTGGGTCACCAGGGGACCCCAGGTACCGAAACAGGATCCTCTGATCCTGCCTGCATGTCATCACCCCCCTCCCCGTCTCTGCAGGAAAAGCTCTCAAGGCCAGGGCACATTCAGATGCCTGCTATTTGTTGGGTATCACCCTGGTACCATTGAGTTTAATTCACTTCCTGTGTCAGGGTGTAGTTCTCCTTTTAGGAAATGGGGAAGTGCTGGGCTAGGGTCCCAGGCTGGTGGACGTCAGTGTGGCTCACCTCCTCACAGCCTCCCTCCCCACAATCAAGCACTGGCCCATTTGTTCTCAACTCACCTCAGCTCACTGAAGTACTTGCACAGTCACACAAGCCAAGTGCTCTGTGTCTGTGTCACCTTTTTTTTCTTCTTCTTTAAGTCAGGGTCTTGTTATATTGCCCAGACTGGTCTCAAACTCCAGGACTCAAGTGATCACACTGCCTCAGCCTTCTGAGTAGCTAGGACTATAGGCAAGTGCCACCACACCCAGCTTTTGTTCACAGAGCTGATGATTATTGTTGCTATTTCTGCTCTCTCTCGATATATTAGGAGCACTGAGCAGACATCAGAAGATATATATTTTCCTTTCCAATAGCTGACTTCTAATGCAGATTCTCAGCCATCACTAACAATACTAAAATTCCCAAAAATAAAGTCTCTCTCATGTGAAAAAGAAATAAACACACATCAGTTGTCATTCTAGAAGACCCTTACACCATGGCACAGTGTTTCCATGCCTGCATGGCCAGCTTTGTCTGTGCCTTGATGTCTTGGATGAGATGGTGCACACCCACATCCAAGCACAGGCCTCCAGCCACCCACCCACAGGCTTCCTTGCCACCCAGAGGGCAGGCCAGGGCAGCAAACCCATCTGTCAGCACCAGGAACACAGCTCAGGACTTCAGCACTGAAAAGATTTCCCTCCAGGGATATAGGAACAAGGCTGGAAGAGTCACAAATTTAAATCCTCTCTTTTCAACTGACGCTGTCTTCTCCCAAGAAGAAAGTGTAGGTTTATAGTCAGACCCATCTTCCCCTACCTTGTTGTATAACCTCCCCACCCAGTTTCCACATCTATAAAGTAGAGAAAACAATAGCTATTACTTGGGTTATTGTAAAGGGCTGATATTGTTCACAGAGTACCAGCAGGATGCCTGGCATGTTCCAGCTGTGCTACCCAAGCCTCCTCCACTCCTGAGTTGGTGACCATGGGCACTGAGAGATGTCACATTCTCTAAATCCACTTGGTTCTTGTGTTTATGATCATGAGTAGTTAATTTGCAGCAATCAAGTGATACTAGCCTCTGTCTCAAAAAGTGTATCTGTATCTTTCTGTTACGGACGATGAGAGTTTAGATAGTAAGGAACATCTGTAGTTAGCCCTCCATATATGGTGTTTCCAATTATCATTATGCAGGAAGTAATGAAAGCTCAGAGTGAATATTAATGCTTTTCCTTTTAAATCTTCGCAATAGCCTGAGTCATTTGGTGGGGTTAGCCTTAAAATGAGGAACATCTTGGGGAGACTACGTAGCCAGTACGTGAGATACTAACTGACATGTGTTTCACTCTTCCTGTGATGACTTCCTTTCCCTTTCTGATTAACTGAGAAGAACAAATACATACCCTCAAAAGGCAGGGACAACAGGGCTGGTGATTCTTGAATGTGCTGTAGAAGGAAGGCAGCCAATCCATTTGCTTTCACTGTGGCAAGATCTAGCAACCTTCTGGCCTATGGGAGAAGCAGAAGCCATTATTTTTTCAGAAAGGTTGATGGACTGGGGCAGAGGGAGGAAGGATGGTCTCTGCTGAGTACAACTTGAGCATCCCTAACCTGAAAACCTGAAATTTGAGGTACTCTAAAATCCAGAACTTTTTGAGTGCCAATATGGTGTCACAAGCTGACAATTCCTCACCATGAAACTTTGTTTCATGTACAAAATTACTTGAAGTATTATATAAAATTACCTTTAAGCTCTGTGTATAAGGTATATATAAAACATAAATAAATTTTGTGTTTAGACTTGTGGCCCATCCCCAGGTTATCTCATTCTGTATCCAAATAATCCCCAGTCTGAAAAAAATTGGAAATCAGAAAACACTATGGTCCAGCCATTTATTATAAAGGATACTCAATCTGTACTGAAATTTCATGGGCATCTCTCTCCCATCACAGTAAAAGGCTGGAAAAACACCTACATGACTTTAAAGAAGCTTATACAGAATTGGATAGTGAACATACACATCCAATCTAGCTCCCTCCCAAAACTCATTAAAAGAGTGAATTCCTAAACCAAACAAGACAAAATAAGATAAAATAAAGACATAATTCTACAACCCTACAAAGATATGGAAAATAATCTAGAAGCTGTGAATGATTTGGAAATGATTTCATCAAATCTCATGGCTTGAATGCTTGAACATGACCTCTGGTCCTCACCCCACACTTTCATCCCTGGCCCAAACTATCCCCGAGACTGGGACTTGCACACCCAACTGCCCATTCTCCTTCTCCACTTAAATGTTTCCTAAACCCTCATCCATGCCAAACCCACAGCTGTTCTCATCCCAGCTAAAGTCAACTCCACCCTTCTAGCTGCTCAGCCCCAAAGTCTTGGAGTCAATTTTGAAGCTGCAAGCCATTAGCAACACCTGTTGGCCACCCCTCAGGGCTACATCCAGGAGGGCCCTGTCCAACAGACAGAGAATGCAAGACATAAATGCCAGCCATGAGTGCAACTTCAAACCTTCTAACAGCCACTTTCTTAAAAGTTTTTTTAATGGAATTTTAATCATATATTCCACTTAACCCAAGAAATCAAAAATACTGCCATTTCCACACGTAATAAGTATAAAAAAGTATCAAAATGGGTTACATTCTCTCCTTCATATTAAGTCCTCAAAAGGTGGTATGTATTATGCACTCACAGGATCTCAATGTGGAGTCCCTCATGGTGGTGCATGCCTGTAATCCTAGGGTTCTGGAAGCCTGAAGCAGGAGGATCAAAGTCAGAGCCCAGCCTGGACAATTTAATTTAGCAAGATCCTGTCTCAAAATAAAAAATAAAAAAAGAGCTGGGGATGTAGTTCAGTGGGAAGACTTTGGGTCAAATCCTAGTACTGAAAGAAAGAATCTCAGCTGTGTTTCAAATGCTTGGCAGCCACCCAGGACCAGTGCCCACATACTGAAGGCATAGCTATAAAACCCACCTTTCTCAACACCTTCTGTACTACCACCTGCTCCCAGCCACCTGTATGGCTCACCTGGGAAAGGGTAGAGGCTCCCAATCTGGACTCCCCGCTCTCCACAGTCTATTCTCAATTCCACAGCCCCAGAGTTTCATCATTTACAAATGAGCCAGATCACATGGTTATAAATGTCTCAACTGTGTCCCCATTGTCTCAGAGTCAAAGCCTAAGTCCAACAGTAACATTCAAGGTCCACATCAGACAAAAATCCTTACCTATAATCCTCAGTACCCACGTTCTACCTCAGACCTCACTTCCTACTCCTTTTCCCCTGGCTCACTCCCTTCCATGTTGGCCTCCTATTTCTTGAAAACACCCAGCATGCTCCTACTTCCGGGCTTTGAATCTGGCTGTGTCCCCTGCCTAGAATGCCCTCCTCCCACAAGGTACAGGTCTAATGCCGTCACCTCCTTGAAGTCTCTGCTCAACTTCCACCTGCTCAGTGATAACTCTCTGGCTTCTCTCTCTAAAATTGAAATCTTTTCTTCCCTGCCCTTTTCCCAAACTCTCCATGCCCCAACTCATTTTACTGACCTTCTATACCACTTAGCACTTTCTAACACATGTGGTGATTTGCTTCTTTCTGTTTATTTTCTACGTTCCCCAACTCGGGTGTGAACATCTCACACAAGGCTTTCTGCTTGTTTGCTCACCGGGCTTACCCACCAAGGTTTCCCCAATGCCTAGAAGAGTGCCTGGCACAGATGCAGGGTTTGAAGACTTGCTGAATGAATGAATGAATGAATGGTAACAGACTTAGAAGATTCCAGAAGCAAATTTCTAAGCCCAAAATGGGTAAGTTGAAAACCCCACAACATATACCCTAGAATCTATCTAGGGCTCTGGAACTATCAGCATCAGGGTACCTCTGGGATTAAAGGAAATAATGAAAATAAGGATGGAGTCAAAGTGGTTTATGAGCTAGATTTCTGGGTACCCTTGCCTACTCTAAGGTACTAGCAATTGTCCCTTCCTGCCATGACAAAGTCTGAAGATTTATATTCTGGAAAGGGTAAAAGAGACTCTCTGAATTGTGGTGCCAGGCACAATTAGAGAAGTGGATGTGATATCCCAACAAGGGTTTAAATGACCAAGTGCAAAATGAACACTGAATGTTGAACTTTCCCTCGCACCACTGCTGCCACCCAGCCTTCTCATCAACTGGGCACCCAGACCTCTGGCAATCAATCAGACCTTCACCTAGGGCAAGAAGTCTGTGGTCTATTCAAGGAATCTGACTTATCTAGGAGGAAAGACATATAGATAGAAATACTGCCATTTCCCAGAGTATCTAACAGTAGAATTCATAGTAGACAAGTGTTATCCATATGCCCAGTATTAAAGTCCTCCACTTCAATAAAGAAAAAGACAACTAAGGACTACCATATGCCCAAAGAAAATATCTAATATGGGCAACAGAAGCCAAACCAGTGGTGGGAAGGAGAAGCAATTTGTAGGATAAAGAGTTTATGTGAGGTGAAAAAATAACCCAATCAAGCAAGCAAACAAATAACTCAACTACCATTATGAATTTTAAATAAACAAAGAGATTGGATCCATACGGGCAAGATGCTATAACAAAGGAACAGTTAAAAATGGCTCTTGCAAAAGTATGATACCAAAAATGAAAAGTTAAAGAGTATATAAAGTTGTGACTATCATATATTAAATAGAGCAAAAAAAATACAGAGAAGGAAAATTGAAGAAAATTAGAAGGTTAGTCAAGAAAGTCTAGCAATCAAGCTATTGTAATTTCCTAAGGAAAGAAAAAAGAAAACAGAAAAAAAGAAAGTATCAGTAGAGTCATCAAGTAAATTTCCCAGAACACAAAGTCTTGAGTTTCTGGATTCAGAAGGTCCCTTGGGTATCCAGTACCCAAGGCATATTATTACGAAGTTTCAGACTGTGAAGGACTAAAAGAAAATTTGATGAGCTCCCAGAGTTACAAAAATGGTTTTAGAATTCTTAGCAGCAACTCTGGAAAGATCATACAGCAATGCCATCAATGTTCTAAAGGAAATGACAGCCAACACAGAATTTTATACCCAATCAAATTGTCAAGTAAGAGAGAAATGTTAGACACAGTCAGAAATTTTAACTTCCATACACTCATGCTAAAGAATTGAGTACAGAATTTATGATCTACCAAACAGGAGTAAGACAGGAAAGAGGAAGACATAGTATTCAAGATGCAGGAGACCCAACATAGGTGGTTATGAAGAGAAATCTTAGGATGATGGCTGTCTACTACATGTGGAGGGCCACTCATTCTCACAGAATGGAGCAGTAACTCAAGACTGAGGTATGCTGAAAGCAGTTATCTCCCAGATATCCCGGTAAGCCTGGACCTAATTAATTCTTATCTATATTTCACTTGTTTTCACCATGGACTAACATATTCCTTCTCTCAACTTCTGCTGCCTAAGTCAGCTGAAAATATTCATTTCACTCCACAGAAACACTTAACCTTGATCTACCTCTGGGAGCTAAAATAGCCTTTAGTAAGTCTTACAATTGAATGTACAGGGCAGCCTACGACCTCTGATCACATTCCTACTGGATATCCAGCACCTTTTACATACCAGCCCCATCAGATCCTCCAGTTGTAATGAGCCCTAGATTTCTCCACATCTACTCATGACCTTATCTGTCAGCCTCCAAGAACGAGTCCTCATAAACTCCCAGGAAAGGAGAAGCCAGACCCTGCTAAGTTTCCCTGAACTGGAAGCCTTCACTAACAAAGGCCAGTATTGTCCTTTCCTTACACAGCTATGTTAGACTCACTACTCATCTTTTCAAAAGAAAACAATACATTGTGTGGGGATTCATTTTAAAAGGTACAAAAACAATAAAGAAAAGCAAAGGAGTGGTTAACACAAAATTCAGAGTCGTGGTTATGTCTAGTAGCTGAAATTAAAAAAGGCCTGGGCGCTGGTAGCATTCTATTTCTTAACTTGAATGATGGGAAGATGTTTATTACTATAGCTATAAAATTTATATACTCTTCTGTAAGCACAGTACATTTTCCAATTAAGAAATGTCTAAGTTAATTCTGTGTTGGGAGCAAGCAATTCAGAGCTCAGTCTGACACCTCAGCCTCATCAACATTAGTAGATGCATGAGTCACACAGACAGCTGGTATCACAGCTGGTGTTCCCAGCCTCTGGTTTCCTAACAACTGTTAGGCCCAACTGAGCAACACCATACAGAGCACTCACATTTTACGGCAGAGAGAGAAAAGCACTAGCTTTGAGGAAAAGCAGACCTGGATTCAAATTCTAGATGGCTTCTTCCCAGATGCATGCAGTTTTTTCATTGCCAAGAAACAGCGTAGTCGGCCCGCTGCAGACAGGCAGGTCTGCGCACGCCCTACCGAGGTCCTGAGTCACGCAAAAGATGCCGAATCACCCCGCTGCAGACAGGGAGCCACCTGATTCCACAATACAAAGACTCAGAGGACACCAGACCACCAGACCAAGGTACTGAGTCCCACTGTTCCCAGCCCAGAGGTAGGGGCTTCTGAGCCGTCGTCCCACTGCTCCCGGTCCAGAGGAAGGTGCTTCCCGGTCACCATCCCTCCCGCTGCTCCCAGCCCAGACAAAAGGGCTTTTAGGCCACCTTCTGTCCCGCTGCTCCTGGTCCAGAGGAAGGGGCTTCTGAGCCACCATCCCACTGCTCCTGGTCCAGAGGAAGGGGTTTCCCACCCACCATCCCTCCGGCTGCTCCCAGCCCACAGGAAAGGGCTCTTGGGTCACCATCCCTACCGCTGCTCCCGGCCCCTGTCCCACCTCACCCAGCTCAGAGGAGGTAATCCGTGCAGGCGCTAACAGCCCCCCACCCCAGTCGAAAGGAGAAAACGCGTAAATAAGTCTCAAAACCAGACTTCCAGATCACCTACAGCAACCACAAAGGGAAATGAGATAGAACACTGTGACACTCAACCACCTGGACCCACTGAACTGGAAACAAAAGGGGATCTGGAAAAAAGGAAATCAGAAATAATTTCTCAGATAACAGGAGAAATTGTGCC